TTAGCCGCTTGCCAAGATCAAACTGAGTTGAGATAACATATGGCGATTTAAATCGACCCAAAAAAGAACACTGGGCGCTAGTCTCCTGGCCCGTAATTTACGTCGCGCGTTGTTGTCGGTTGTCGCTGTCGCTGTTCGGTATAATGCCCTCTCTCTCAGACCAGATCGACCATCTGACTTCCCTCTCGAAATCCATCAAAGCCAGTGCTGATGGGTTTCCGACTTCCGATGGGCTTTTTACAACAGCTGTCCTTAACACTGCTCTTGGCGACCTAATTCGTGACATCGACTCATCCGAACTCGGGCTTTTCACACTAGTGCATCCTCCGTCTCATGTACCAGCTGAGTCGGAAGCGAGGGGTGTGATTTCCCGTGTAGAGTTTCCTGGTGCTACGCCTCTGAGGAAACCACCTTCCCGAAGGCAAGAAATAACAAAACCGAGAGAGTATGAGCCAGAGGTCTATGCCCAGGCTGCGTTAAAGTACTTGGATCAGTAGTATGTATTGCGTTTTTATATGGCATATACTCCGTTTGAACCCGTCTTGTGCGGTATTTTAGTCACTCGATTCGCCCAATGCCTCGTGCCAGATCCCAGGTCCAGGGACTCATTAACCAGCTGGATGAAACTCGACGGAACATCAGAAATCTTAGTGATACATTACAGCAGGTTTGCATCATTCGCTTTCTATCTCCAACGCTTGAATGTTCTTTACGCAGTTAACAAGTGGCAATCCCGCATTAGACCCCAGCCCGCAAGAATCAACTGCAGCAGATGAGGAACGGCGCATACAAGATCTCCAGGCTCGGCTCACGGAACTGCGTAAACAGGTGTGTGCCTTCCACGTCTATGCATTTATTTTGTCTCACACTTTATCAGAAAGATGACCTTCTTCGCACCTCCAATCCTGCTCCCAAGCCCAAGCCCGCTCCAGGACTAGCTAGGGCTCCTTCACCTCTGAACATACCTGAGACCCAGGAAGAGATGTTCTGGAACACGCCTGCTGCCTCGGCGCGTACGCTTCGCTTCACTGAAAAGCTCATGGACGAGGAGGTGGACATCAACGACGTATCAGTCATATCCTTCACGAGCCCGGTTCCTCGGCCTCGGTCCGTTTTGTTATCTTTAGGTCTTCCTGTGGACGACGATTCCATAGATAATGAAGGACACGATAATGGACAGGATGATTCTGTGGTGCCTGATCCATCAGATGAGGAAGAACTCCCAGGTAAATGTGATGAGCTGGAGGTGGACGATGGGGATGGAGAACAAACTGTAGTTCTCAAGAAGCTGCCGTCATCATCGATCCAAAACCTCGTGCCGCCAGAAAGTTTTACACCTCCTGAGACGCCTTTGCCAGCACATCCAGAATTGCAACCCCCTGCTGTAGTGCCTTCTGCGTCCGCAAGAAAGCCGCGTATGAATACGGAGATGGAGAAAATTGTGGCGAGTTTCTTGATCTCATAACCAAGAAGCGCATATAACTGAAGTACGTATTGATAGACGAAGATATGGAGCACGGTGGGCGAGATCATCATGCCCGGCCATCCTTTCGATCCCACTGGGTCGGTGTCAGGGGGAAGCAAACCTCCGAGGGCAAAGGAGACTCTGTACGTTCACTCCAACCTTCCGTATCTCGTCCACTGACACGCCGTAGCGCCCATCTTGAATCCATCTCCTCCCAGACCCCCTCTCCGACATCACCCACCGCATCTTCATTTTCATCGCTTGCGCCCACGGTGACCATTGGCCAGCCCACTTCACAACAGATCGCAACCTGTCAACTTTTGCTCGCCCTGCTGAAGCAGCCCAGCTTCTCGATGTCGCTCAATAAACTCAAGGACGCGCTAGCGGGAAGTGGTGGGGCGGGCGGCACGCGAACGCTGTATGCTTGTGTAGCGAAGAAGTTGATAAAGATTGAGCGAGGGGGTGGGGAGCAGGTGGTTAAATTTGATGTTTGATTTCCTGGTCTCTTCATTCGATGCAGTGCGTAACCCTCTCTAGGAGCGTACGCAGATGTTTCCCTTGAGACCTTTTCAGACAGATATCTTGTCGGGTCGCTTGGAGGTACCACATCTTAGCCCCTTCTGTTCATTACTTGTTTGAGCGTCCACGAATGTCCAGGGGGATGTCCATGAAGCATTGTGGACAATTCCTCGTGGACGGTCGTGTACTCGTTATACTTTCCTCGACTTACCCAAAAACATGCAGGGAAATAGACTTGCTCTCATCGATGGCAATGTCAGCCAGCCGTGCACCGTCATAATAAGATCCTGGGCTAGGTACAGTGAGTCACTAACTATGGCTGGAGTACACGTTCCGTTAAGGCTAAGTGCGGTCTTTCTCAGACCCAGATGTCATTCCATGTACAATGTGATATGATCATGAACTTTTTTCATGGACGATGATCCAACCAAATCTTGCATGACATCGATACCCTCAAGTGCACATCTATGCACATCGTAGCTATGTGACATCAACTGTGAGACAAGGGTAACATTGCAATGCAATACGATCACGAAACTACAAGTGAGTCCGAGCTAGCAAGAAAGTGTTTCAAGCTACGACGAACGTAAAGAGAGTTCGTAAGTTTGGGCGAGAGCCCGAAGGGCTTTTCCGGCTAGAAACAAGAATCCGAGCCTGAGTATCAAGGTGAGCTGTATGAGGGCGGGTGGGCCCGAACAGGAAACCTATAGTGCTTGTGATACTTAGGGAGCGGGCACTATGCGTCGGGCAAATGGAGCACAATTGATCGCGCAAGACATTCGTTTGGTTTTTTGTTGGGCATTTGCCTATGTCCTGAGAGAGGGCGTGGCGGGTGGGTGCAAAAGAGTGAGAGATTAGAGATTAGAACTGCGTGCGAGGAATCTGAGGATTTGCTGCGAGGTGGGCAGGAGCAAGAGGCGCTGCGCCACCTCGCTTACTCGTGCAAAGACTATATTCTGTGCTAGCCTCGTGCCTCGGCTAGCTCAGAACGCCAGCTAGTGACATTGAAGGCAAAATCAGTATTATTGGAACAGCAGAAGCGTTTCACCCAGTCTCCCGTAGGCAGATTGAATAGAAGGAAGATAGTCGTCCCTTCGTATGTTTCACCGATACCTCCACGAAAGTGAAGTGCCAGCGAATTGTTGTTATCATACGTCCCGAAGCTTAAGGATACTTAGAGTAAGTATATAGAAACTTAGTGGATCAATGATTTCTTGATCTTCAAGCACCAAGTTTCCATATGCTTCTTCGGATAACGTAGGACCGTTAGTTGATGCTTTATGTGTCGGATGGTAAACTGTGACAATTGTATGAATCATATACAATTGTCCTGTGCGAGAAACTTTCAGTAATGGTATGCAGAAACAACAGGGCGTGTATTAACAAACGGGCGTCGGGCACGTACTAGTAGTTATTATATGGCACCGTATTTGAAGGAACGCGGTATGATGAGAGAACTGCGGAAGTGAAACGAAGATCACTCGAAAATGTGACACGTACCACTAGGAAGCTGGTGGGGTGTGGCATAGAACCACACAAAAGAAATCTACTCAAACAGACGGGGAGTTTTCGTTGCCTGAAGGGCTTCGATCATAGCCCGAGCAACGCAAATGCGAGAGGACCTACCCATCAGCATTTCCAAGACGTTCTTCAAACCTTTGTCTGAGCTCCTCTAGCCGATTATTCAGAGGTTCTCCAGGTGTCACATATTCATCCTCGTGGTCCATATTGAAGGTACCACACTCTCTCAAAAATTGTTCTGGGTCCTTAGCGCGAGTTATGGATAGTTGTGGTTCGTTCGATCCCCGTGTCGAGCGTGAGAGGAAACAACTAATGTCGATACGCCCGAATGGTGATGCCAATCGAAGTCTGGTTGGGCGATCTCAGGGTCAGTTTGTCATACGTTCACGTCGATGCACTTTGAACTAACCTGCTTACCCGACGTTGCTGCCGAAATACCTATAGTGAGTGCCTCAAGCAAAACTTGTAAACCTATAGCAATATTCAACCAGAGACCAGTTCGCTGTGCTTCAAAAGAAGATCGTCAGGAAATTCAACAACGGAGCCTTCGATGTCCGGATACCGAGCATATAAGGTTGATACTTAACTTTTTGACCAACCTTTTTTGTCGTATCGGTACTTCTCTGTCTCTACAGCGTGAATGGTTTGGGTGAGTCGCTCTCCAATTGTATGCCGTTTTTAGGTCAGGCTCGGGATTAAATGCCAGCGCAGAAGTGCACAGCAACAGAAACGTGAGGTTGCTCGGGCGCTCTCCAGCATCTGCCAGAGACGTTGCCACGAGTATAGTCCACATCTATGCGCTACCGTGACTGCCAAGCAGGAACTTTTTAGTCGTCACTGACTGACAACCTCCACTCTCTAAATGTTCAGGTTCCACTGACAGCAAGCCGCAAGAGCTGCCCCTGGACTTGGGGCTGAGAGGACTGTCCAGTAGGAACAGGCAAGTCATGGCCGGGATCCATGCTTCCACGACGCAGATATCTGAGAGAAGGTCGGGACTCGGGTGAAGCTTGTTCGAGCTAACCCTCAGTTAGAAAGCTGTATACCACAAACCAAGCACCCACGCCTTGTTTTTGCAGTACCAAAAGTGGCATACATGATCGTGTCCGGACAGTCCAGGTGAGTATGCGATGTTTGCGTGTTACACGACCTGTCGGTTCGGTTCAGCAACTGTCGCGTCCAGGTACGTCGACATCGGTAGTAGCACGGTCCGGCGGGGTCCGGACCCACCTTAAAAACCAAAGTCCATACATGATGCCGCTGGTGACTACGCCTCGTCCTTTGGTCGTCCTTCTCAAATTTAACCTCATGGAGTACATAGAAGCCTCATTAGGAATCGCATTCAAATTACACTTACAGTCACTTCATGATATAGGGATTCTACTACACTACTAGGTACACAAGCAGCCGATGCTGGACATTATTAGTCCTTCTTCATGTCCCGGGCTCCTCGATTTCCACGCATCTCGGACGTTGACTTCGGCAATATTGGAAGCGCATCAAAACCAAATATCACCAAGTTGCGCAAGGGAACCAGCTGGGTCGTCTGGGCTCAGATCATTATGGTGTGTTCCCCCAGTAAAATACATCGATGATTGAACAGGAGCTCACTTTGGGACGCCTTGCACCTTCAACAGCCCATACATAGTACCCCACTGCCTCCCCGTGTTCAGGCTAGGCGTAATATCGCAGAATCAGACGCTGGTACTTATCTGTTTGATTGCATTTGGACATCCACTGGAACACTCTGATCTTGCATGCGTGATTCGCACTTCTTCGCACTTCTTCAAATTCCCATACCGAAGAATAGGTCCACTTTGCACCCATTAATCGAAAAACTGAGTTGTCTAAACTCTACACATTCTAGGGGCCCTTGAGAGCATTACTGGCAGCCGATGCTAACAGCTGCGATTGCCTGTGATTACTCTCATGCAGGACGAGTTGGCTCCGGTATGAAGCTAGGTTGTTTCAGCCACGACAGTGGCGAATTGGCGATAACCTGATGCAGCATTTCTGGCAAATTAAAAGTTCATTGTGTGGTCTTCGGAACTTGGCTTCTCCTACGATGGTCATATTGTTGGCTTTTCCACTTTTGATGAATCCTCCCGCCAAAATAGCTTTGGCCTGGACTGGCGGCAGTACTGCTGCCTAGAAATGCTGCAGAATCCACAGCCCAGGCAGGGGGCACTGGTAAGCTCGCATCGGCTACATAGAGCCGCGTGGAAGAGCCTGTCTCGGAAGACAGGCGTGGGGCCCGAGCAGTAATTCCATTCCATGAGCACCTCCACTAGGGGGTTCCGAGGAACCACCCAGCATTAATCCATAACCTCTCGAACGTGGAAGAGATAGCCGTATTTTTGTCTGAACCCCTTGGATGTGGTAAACCGAATTGATCCAAAATGAATACCCCCTCAGTGAGAGGGGGTCGGGCAGAGGAAGCTTAGCACCCTACTTGATTTGACTTGTTCTATACTTCTACACCCAGATTGCTCATCTCAGATCTATGCCCCGCATTTCCTACTACTTCCATGCATTGCATTGCTATCGTACTATTTTTAGCTTTGTTTTTTTTGGTGTAGGGTAACTACTAATCTAAAAAGCCGACTTGGTCGAAGTTCCTCTCAAAGTGCTTTTGAGCAGTTCGCTTTTGGTTTAGTTCAGGTTTGCGTTCGTAAGCACACATTTTTGGTTATGTGTTCAGCATCTCCACCAATGGCATGAGTGCACTACTGAAGTCGTAAGCGTTCATTTCAGTGGTTTTGTAGGTGCTACTACCCATACACCATACTTATACGGCTACAGTATTACGGCTGTACGGCGTGTGGTGATTGGCCACTGGCTAATATTATAACTTTAAACGCGCATGTTATCATGATATTGGAACTTTCGACAACGGTATGCAAAAACAGGACGTGTATGAGCAAACGGGCATGTAAATATGATGGTACTATATTTTGGGGGACACGAGAGAACTGCGGAAGTGAAACGAGGATCACTCGGGAATGCAAGGGTGGGGTGCATCATAGAACCGTACAAAAAAAACCTATTCAAACCGGCGGGGAGAATTTTTCCTGCTTAAAGGTTTGCTAAAGGTCGTCGACCATAGCCCGAGCAACGCAAATACGAGAGAACCTACCCATCAGCGTTCTTCAAAAAAAAAGCCTTTGTCTGAGCTCATTAAACCGAGCATTCAGATGGTCCCCAGGTGTCCCATATTCATGCTCGTGGTCCATCTCGAATGTCAAGCAGTCTCTCAAGAATTAATCGAAGTCCTTAACGGATAGTTGTGGGTCGTTTGATCCCTGTGTCTGAGCGAGATGGGAAGCAACCAATGTCACCAACATGCTCCCTGAAGCGTATTGACCAGCAGGATCTGCTTTGAATAAAAATCCTGATACATAGCAATAACGGAGATGCCAATCGAAGTCTAGTTCAACGAATGATCTCAGATGTTTATCATACGTTCACGTCGATGCACTTCGAGCTAACCTGCTTGCCCGACGTTGCTGCCGAATGATCCGTAGTGAGTGCCCCAAGCAAAACTTGTAAATCTATAGCAATATCCAACGCGAGGCCAGTCCATCGTGCTTCGAAAGGAGATTGTCAGAAATTTCCCAGAAACAAGGATGTCTGGATACCGAGCAGATAAAGTTGATATTTGTGTAATTTGTTGACTAAGCTTTTAGGGCATACTGCGCCCTCTGTCTTCGCAATCTCAATCGTTGGGGCGAGTCACTCTCCGATTGTACGCCGCTGTAAGATCAGACTCGTGATCAAATATCAGCGAAGAAGTGCGTAGTGACACCAACTTAAAATTTGTGTTCAACTTTGGGCACTATCCAGCCTGTGCCAGAGGCGTTGGCACGAGTATGACCCATATCTGAGCGCCACGACGGTTCAAACGTCACATGTTCGATTCTCGTAGCTGGAGGAGCGTGAGGGGCAGGCTCAAAATTTACATATGGACCACTGCGATCGCGAGTCGGTAAATGCCCCTCTGAACTGCCGAGCAGGAGCTTCTCAGTCGCCACTGGCTGATTCTGCGGACTGGGACGATTTCCGCTCTCTCCATGTTCAGGTACCACTGACGGCGAGAGCTGCTCCTGGACTTGGGGCTGAGAGGACTGTCCAGTAGGAACGGGAGGCAAGTTATGGTCGGGATCCATACTGGTGCTTCCATGACGCGAATATCAGAAAGTTGAGTGAAACCTGTTCGAACCAATCGTCAGTTGGAAAGCTTTATACTAAGCGCCCACGCCTCCCTGCAGTACCAAGAGTAGACATGATCATGTCTGGGTGACCCGAGATCTAGAACCAATATGAATGTCAAAGAGAATCCGCTTGCGGGTGAACTGTTTGTATTGCAGTCAAATGGTTACTAAGACGATTTGGCTCTAGCGCACAAAAAATCAGGGGACGTCAAAACATGTAGGATGATATACTTGCTCTTGTTGATGAAAGTGCCAGACCCTGCCAGACTCAACCGTGCATCGTTATAATATTAATATTGGGGAGTAAAGTCCTAGGCCAGGTATAGTCTAGAGTACACGTCCCGTTAAGTGCGGTCATGCGTGCCCTCTCGGATCCAGATGCTTATCCCATGTACAAGGTGATATGATCATGGACTACTTTCATGGGGATGATTTAACCAAATCTTCACCAGTTCTGCGTGAGTATCTCGGTCCATATCCTCAAGTGCAATTTGAAACACCTAGCGCTTAATGAAGGCAAAATTAATAAGGCATTATTTGAATAGCAGAAGTGGTTCACCCAGTCTCCCGTAGGGATATTGAATAGAAGGAAGACAGTCGTTCTTTCTGATGCATCATTGCTATCTCTGCGAAAATGAGGTGCGGCGATTACAAGTTGTTGTCATACATCTCAAAAGGGTAGAGTGCATGAAACTTCCATATGCTTCTTCGGATAACACAGTACCGTTAGTTTGATGTTTTTTTATGGGTCGGGTGGTAGACTGTGATAATTGTGTGAATCATCATAAATTGTGGGATTCGAACCTTGGCCAGGGTCCATGCATCATGTCCCAAAACGAACAACTTCTTCATTCGTCCAAAGTCTGCCTATGGGAGACTACGAGTCCCAGGTCTTCGTAGAAGCTCGTAAAAAGCTGGGGCGTGGAACACGATTTTGTGGAGGACTTCTCCATCGAGCGCAGTGTGCCTCTTTGTCGGCGCCAATCATCAGGAGGGGGCTATGTCTCGCAGTTTTGTCAGTAGCGTCAATTGGCTAATCACCAGTAAGGAAAGGGAAAAAGATTTGGCCCGCTGGTTATGTAGAAACAGCCATCAGGTGGTACCTGGAAGCCCATGGATGTGTATGGCACTGTATGCACATCGGCATGAATTGAAAAATCAACATCCCTGCCAAGATTTCTTGTGGAGTGGGTAAGCGACTGGTGTTCCTTCAGATTCACATTAGGCGCGGAAATAGCGATGAGGTTGCGACTAACTCGTACTCTTCGTTGTATGATACGTTGTAGACGAAAAGAAAAATTACACTGAATGAATGCAATGTTTGTATCAGTAGGTTTGGCAACATTGATGATCATGATGATGGCATTGTGGAATAGCCTTGTTATACAAGGCACTCGACCAAATTCCCAGCTGGTGTAGCTCGTCCTCGCTGAGCTTTTCTATCTCTGACCACGACCTGCACGACTGAGGCAGCTTGTGCAAGGTCTTTGCAATTTACTATCCAGCCAGGTCGGAAGAAAAGCTGTCTTATAACCATTATACCAACTTGACTACATTCTGGCAGATCACATAACACAAAGATGGGTTCTGCAAACGCACAGCGCAAGGGCGTTTGGGAGCCCCTGCCCCTCATCGTCTACGGCTATGCCGTCCACCCGTTATCACCATCCAAACGCGACACCCGCCTATCAAGTCGCCGGCCTATGTCGACTATCACAGAGGGTTCTACAGACGACAATGGTGTCCACAGGGATGTCGTCTCCCTCGAAGTTGGCGACGAGGTCTATGCCTTTGAAAAGTATACCCCAAGAGGAAACCAAGCGGATGGCATATGGTACAGAGGGTACGTTTTGCGGGTTTTGTCATGGCCTGAGGTGCTTATTACTCTTATGATGTCCAGCTACGTAGTTTGCACTGCCCGCCTTCCACCAGTCACCTGGTCTACCTCCTCAGACCCCACTTCATCTTCATCTGCCAAACCAGTCAAGACCGAGGAACCGCAACAGGTTTTCATCGGCATATTTCCTGCTTCCCATATCTTTGTCCGTGATGAACTCTCAGATGCCGAGGGACGCCTGCCAGACCTTGTTACCTCCCTTACAGCCAACTCCTCGAATCATAACGGTTCTGTAACGAGTGCAGACTACCTCGCGCAATGGAAGCGCGAGCGCGCAAACTCAGGCCCAGAACCCCCTCGCGAGCACAGAGAAAGAGACAGGGAAGTCAGAGAGCTGACATACGATGACGAACGGAAATCATTCAAACTCGGACCCCCGCCCGACCAAGCCAAGTCTACTCGAGCTGCGCTTGTCGTATATCCCGCGAGCATACACTCCGTGCCAGAATCCGAGAATTTGAAGCCTCTTCCTCCACGTCCGTCCCTAAAGTCAGGTGATGATACAGCTTCCGGCACGTCACAGCCTATCATCGACGAGATTGCCAGTGCCCTTCGAGAATGGCATAGCATGATGTTCCAGTATCTCGCAAGACGCGATTACAAGCTCTTCCATACAGTTCGCGAGCATATCGAAGCGCTCCATCTCGGACGAAGGCAGTTGCTTGCGCAGACATTGAGCGCAGAAGAGACGGTTAGTCTGAGGAGGGACTGCGTAGCACGCTTAGGTGAGCGGCAATGTGGTACAGGATCTTGATATCATCGTTCGTCATCCGACATGGGGTGCACTAGTAACAGTGGACGTAGAGGGCGAGATCGACCCTCGCAGCTGGGTTAGCGCTGTGCGGATGTATGCCATGCAATCTTCCCTCGCATATATGAATGTGCCTGTAGACAACTCATCGAAGCTCACCATTGGACCTACCGAATTCTCCACCATACCCATACCCACTCCTGCACATTCCGCATTCCCTGATATATCCCGGAACAAAACCAATTCACGACAAGCCGGTTCCCTCGGTCCCTACCAGCCCGAGAAGCCAACTGCAGCTAAATTCTACCACATTTTCCTCGACCTACGCGCTTTTGTCGCAACTCCTTGTGCACCCGGCGAGACAGCTGAGCTCTTCTTTTCGGTTTACAAGCACTCCGAATTTCCCCGGTTCGTCACCGAAGATTGCTGCATCGTACTTAATCACAACGGGGTGCTCTCTCGTGATCCCAATGCCCGCATACGCACACTCTTCAATGACATTGCACAGTCAGATGCGCAGGACCCGTTATTCCTGGTGTGTCGTATCGTGCGGAACGGCGCGCTCAAGATGAATAACACGATGGGGTCAGGTGCTCCCGGTGAAAGCGGGCGTAGGCCATCTGAAACGTCGCTTTCCGATGTCCCATTGACACCCTCCCGCGCGAATGTTGTATCGGATTTCCCGACGAACTTCCGCCGGCCGTTCGGCTGCGCTGTTCTCGAGCTGACACAGCTTACGAAGATGATGATCGATGGTACAGATGTGAGCCCGATGAAGGAGCACTCCATGCCAATTTTTGTGCCTACCAATGAAGCGATATTCTCGATGTTACATCAGGATATCATCGCCAATAATACGAAGGAGTTCGAGAAATCGCCAAGGTGAGCGTGACGATCGTTTTTCGGTGCCGTGTATTAACCTCGCGATCAGGGCTGAGATGCTTGCTGTTTCTGTGAAGATATTCCATGGCGACTCATCCACCGTAATCAGAGAGAACATGTCTCTTCTGCAAGACATCCCGTTGACCCTCCGACTTGGATTCCCCGACGTAGTGTTTCCTGGAGATGTGCGCAACGAGCTCTACATCAAATTATGGACTGGGGAATTCCCATCATCCCACGGTAGCTCCGCCCGACTCAGCATGGTCAACTTCACGCGTCCTGGCCCAGTATCTCAGAATGCACAAGTGTCGATTGAAGTCCGAGATCAAGAAGGTCGTACCATCGAGAATGCCATCTCCCTGGGCAGCGGCGAGCCCAATGTTACCCAGTTTCATTCAATGGTCTTCATGCGGAACAATCAGCCCACTTTCGGCGAGCTCATCAAACTCCAGCTTCCGCTTCGGGGCGTTCCGAACTGGCATCTGTTCTTTACGTTCCGAAATCGCTCTGGACGAGGGCTTAACGCAGATAAGCCGTTTGCGTTTGCTTTTCAGCCATTGTTCCCTGGTCAAGGCGCGTTTTTAGAGGATGGGAGTCATACTTTAGTACTGTACCGCGCAGATAAGCTGTCGCAAATTACGCCGGACATGTACCTGACATCGTCGCCGTGGGTGCTTCCAGGACAGCGGCCTGAGCAGGTTGCAGTGTCACCGGACCTGATGAGGCTTGGCTTCGCCCATGAGGGACACTGTCATCATACGGTCATCACTCTGTTCCACCAAGTTTACGCAGAATCCTGTGCTCATGAGCCTGCTTAACTGGGAGGAGATCAATGACAAGGAGCTGCTGCAGACCGTCCTCAGCAAGTTTACCTTCGTGGGTGAAGGAGAAATCGTCAAATTTCTCAGGGACATCTTCGATTCGCTCTTCGGCATCTTGGAGTCGCAGAACAACCAAACCGGTGAGATGGACCACCTCGTCTTCAATGCACTCGTTACTGTCCTGGGCATCGTGCAAGATCGGCGATTCAGCAATTTCCAGCCCGTCTTGGATGTCTACATCGAGCAGCATTTCAACTGTGCTGCAGCTTCTTCACACATGATCCGCTCGATGGACCGTCTGCTCCGGAATCCGACCGGTAATGACACGGCCTCGCCTTTACGTGCAGCGCTCAAAGTCTGGCACTATATCTTCAAGTTTATTACGCGTGCGCGAGAACTTCAGAAGAGCACTGAGCTGGGCATGGGTGATGGAGCGACTGCCGAGCACTTGGAAACGACGTTCAAGAAGGAAATTCGTTCTCATCTTACTGAAGTTAACAAGATGATGGCGACTACGTCACCAGCGTCTATCATTGGCACGCAAACCATCGCATTGCAGCACTTTACGACCATCCTTCCAGAACTTGCCAAGATCATTCCCACTATCGAGTTAGTGACAGTCGCCACGAACTTCGTCAACGCTATCTCGACTGGCAAGGGCAAGATCATCATATGGCGGCTGATCATGTACTTGCAGATCGTCAAGGGTTTCTTGTTCGACACCTCCCATTCGCGGTCACTGCTCGTTCAAGCGGTCGTTATCTGGATCAAGCCTCACTTTGGCCGCTATGATGAGTTCACGCAGACCACTGTATCGGATTCCGAGAGCGTGCGTGACGCAGCAAGAGTTAGCTGGCTGGAGTCTATACGGCTTTGTGTGACGATTATCGCGATGATGCTGGACAAGCTGCAGCTTGCAGTTGGTGTCGTCATCAGTTATGGCAGATCGCAACTTGTTCAGGCAGGAGCAGGAGAACATCGAGTACATACTCATGCTCATGCCAAGGTGCGTGTTTTCTAGATCGGTGGTTACGATGTACTTATTTTTTTTTGGCAGGCTTCTTGATTCCTATCGCGAGTTCCAGAACCCCGCTAACCATCGTGCTGTGGAACGAACGCGCACTCCAACCACGACGACTGCCGCGGTACCCGTCACTTTCCCGGAGTCTTATCCGTTTTCCCTCATGGCTTTATTGCCCAATGCTCCGCGGAATGCTACGAGCACATCGCTTACACACGAAGATAACTTGGTCTTTAACCCTGGCTTGGGTGAGACAGCGATCGTCCTCCTTTCCCTTGTGCTCTCTGCTCCGACGAAGCACATTTACAACTTTTTGGAATCCAGCTACGACATTGAAGGGAAGGAGAACTTCGCCGTTCTCCTGACGCAGTTTTTCAAGGTTGCAACGTCGATACTAGAGAATGATGCCTTCCTGAGCGACTGGCTGAATGTGAACATCCTGACGCACAAGGTGTTGATCAAGATGATGGATCCTGTTGCCACGCTTTTGAAACGGATTTTCATACCCCCACCGTCGGCGTCGCATCAGTTCAAGGCGGAGCTGTGGAAGGACGCATTCTTCATGTTGCTGAAGCTTTTATCGTCCGAGCAGCTTGTTATTGAAGATTTCAGTCCTCAGGCACGTATGATCGTACTTCTGTATTATATGTTCTTACGCTGTGATTTAGAAACGGCGTGCCGTATGGCGTCTGGGCGGTGATATTCGAGGCGAAGGCGCGGATATACTTCTGCGGCTATGGGAGGCCCTTGCGTGGCCGGAACCGACAGAATCCAGCTCTGTCTCCCAAGGAGTGCGTATTTTCCCAAAGCCTGATCTTGTCTTGATGTTTAATGCCTTGTTAATACCCAGGGCTACCAAGCGGTGCTGAGCCCATTGATCGGATATATCGTGAACCTCTGTCTCAGTCACCATGACCAGCTACGAAACAACGCGGTCGGAATCCTTTTCGGAATGATCATTTCTGAATATCAACAATATAGCCACTTTGACCAGATCGAGACGGAACTGGTCAGGAAGCTTGATTCGCTCTTCATGTCCCAGTCCTAAGGGCGATGACATCTCTCGCGTGTTTTTCATTGCACAACTGCGGCACTTATTTGAGTCGTCTGAGGTTGACGATCAGCTTAGGGAGCGTGTCTCTACTTTCCTTGACTTCGGTGGATGCCTTCCTCAAGCTTCTCCTCAACGTTCGCAGACTCCCTGAAGGCGAAGAGTTTGCTGATGATCGTGTGATTGCCACAGTAAGTACTCTCATATTCAAGAGCACGAGCACGAAAGTCTAAACGCTTTCTCACCCAGCTGCGCCTGATGAACTTCATCCGCGATATTGGTAGGGAAGAGATGTATATCAAATATGTGCACCAGTTGGTTAATGTGAGTTTTTCCCTGGCTAAAAATTGATCGGTGCTGATACGTTCGAAGGCCCACCTTCAATCGCACAATTATGTGGAAGCTGCATTGACACTAAAGCTTCACTCTGATTTGCACCATTGGGATCTTTACTCGTTCGTGGGGCCCATGGAGGACCTCGGGCTGCCTCAGCAATCTCATTTCCATCGGAAGGAGACCCTGTGCCTATTAATTTTGGATTACTTGGGTGAGTTTACTGCACTTTCGGACGATTTCCATTGTATTCTTAGTATTGTGCAGGCAAAGGCAAGGCATATGAGAGCGCAATCGAAATTTGTAAAGAGCTGGCAAAGCAACACGCTGAGGTCACCTTCAACTAGTAGGTCCTACCGTGCTTATCATCCATGCGCTAATTCTCAACATCTTCATAGTGCGCGGCTTGCAGAAATACTGCGTCATCAGGCTGCATTGTTTGAGCATATCATCACAGACCAGCGTTACTACTCAGACTATTTCCGAGTGGTATTCTATGGAGACTTCCCTGATGCCTTGAGGAACAAGCAATTCATTGTACGTCTGACATTCTTGTATTTGATGGATCTGCTAAAATTTTGCATGCAGTACCGCGGATATGAATGGGAAAAGTTTGGCACTTTCTGCGAGCGGCTACTTAACAAGCACCCGGGCGCTCAGTTGCTAAAGAGTGATCCCACAGCAGATCAGCGATTTGGAAACGATCAGTATATCCAGTGTACTGCTGTCACTCCTGAGCCGGATCGATCGCTTCCCATTTTTACCAGTCCCGATGTCCCACTGGCCATTCGCAATTATTACGAACACAGGTTAGTTCCTTCGTGACAATGAGCTGCGCGCAACTGATTGTTTCGGACAGTGCCATCAATGTTTTCAGCTCTAGTAAGCAAATAACGAAGTTCGACCGCGATGGGAATGAAGAGGTCTGGCTGGAGAAGACGTCCTTCACAACCGAACAAGCCTTCCCCACTGTTCTTCGGAGATCAGACATTACAGAATGGGAAGTAGTCGAAATATCGCCTGTCGAAAATGCTCTCCATGAGGTCGAGCAAAGGACTAGGGAAATGGCCTCATTCCATCTGCGGTATGCCGCTCTTGCAAAAACTGCTCAGGTGTTTTCGACAAACGCTCTTTCTATGAGCCTCAATGGAGCCGTTGACCCGCCGGTGGATGGTCTGCCCGCTTATCGTGAAATATTCTTTGATCCTGCGTACTCTGCCAAGCACCCTGATAGGGCAGAAATGATAGACCGCCTCAAAGGCGCGATAGACGACCAGGTATGTTTGTAGACAACTATCAGATGCTTGTTCGATTGTTTACGGGCGATGTAGGTGCGGGTGACGGACAGTTGCTTGAAATTACACGGTCAGATCTGTCCACAAGAGATGTTGCGTTTCCATCAGACCTTGGAAGAGCTCTTCAGGAAAAACTTCGCCGAGGAGATCCAACGTATTGCTGCAGAAAACGGATTTGAACTTGCCCCACAATCGTACGCAGCGTCAATACGGATCCACGACCAAAGTTCGTTGTATGAGACCCACTCCCATCAACGGTCGCGGTCGGATTCATCGGGTCGACCATCCTTTGGAATCGCCCCTCTTTCAGTTGGTGGCTCATCCTTGAGCCCTCCACCGATTTCACCGATTTCACCATTATCATCACGTCTCCCACCCTTTCAACATGAAGGCGGTGCTGGCGCCAAGCGCACCCCGTTGCAGATGCACGCGGCGCACGTTGCTCGTCACGGCATTAACGGAGTGCTGACTGGCTGGCGAGATACTCCCAGTGATGCTAACACAGGCTCTCCGCGAGATTCATTGATCACAGTGGGAAATACAGGCGCAGCACATTCTGGTGCTTCTGTGGCGATGTCAACCATGGGCAGCGCGAATTCCATCAAAGGTCGTTTGTCATCACGATTCGGTAGCTTTACGCGCAGTCGTCGAGGTTGATATCATTGGTTATCTCGTTTCTTGGTTCCTTACTTTTCTTGTTTTATTCCTACAATACATTCATTTAGGATTGTCTACATGTAATATTGTTTGTACTCCCCTTCGTTTCCATTGACACTTGGTTCTTGTTGTTCACTGTTGTTAATGAATACATTGATACCCTTACACGAATATAAGCACGTAGGAACAACTAGGGGAGGTATAACGCTAATTACAACGGGCCATACGAATATAAAAACGTGGCTCTCCAGAGACGAAAAGAGTGATGATACAGTGGGGGACAAGATAGAATAAAGATAGGATAGAGCACATAGATGATGACGCAAGGATAATGTACAACTCGGCTGGGATTTCGAATGAACGATCATGCAACCTGTCAACTAGCCAAGGTAGCATTCATGCTGTGCTCTCGTAACGTCTGAAATTCAAACGAGTCGTAGGTGTGCATGGCGTATTGGGGAATGGAGTACATATCGAGGGGCTCATGGGCAGGAATGCATTCAAAAGCAGGGCGCTGCTGATGATCGGCAGGTGCACCTGAAGAGTTGCCTAGACTTTGTAAATCCCACGTCGTATGGTGCTGATAAGCGCTAAGCGGTGATATAGGTGATGAAGGAACATTTTCAAGCATGGGGTGTGAGGGATATACGTGCGAAGAATCCATGCTCGGGGGAAAGTAGGTGGATTCAAGGCTTGGATAATACCTGGCAGGTACTTCTGAGCCCACGTACATCGGCTGGAGATGATCTTCAGGCATATGATAGAACAGGGAATCCTCGATGGGAGACTCCAGCTCTAGCTGAGGCGATTGACGCGAACATGAGGCTTGAGAGTATTGTGAGAGTTGAGATGTTTGGGATTCCTGCGACCCCTCTGAGTGAACGATATCGCCAAACGACTGACAGAACTCTAGTTTTGGTTGTACGTTGATCCCCGGCGCCTCCCGAGCAACAGGCGACTGATAGAAAAGTGACTGACTGCTTTCCTTTGTGGGGATGGGCCCGAAGTTGCTAAGGGACTGTGGGTCCCAAATGAGTGCCCTATATGGAGTGTGTAGGAATGGAAGGGACACCACTTACGTATTTTGATATGATCTTATCCAATGCTTGGGGAAGCAACTTCCAATCAAAGACTTTGAGATCTTTCTCGATCTTGCGCGGCTTCGGATCTGGGAAATCCATAATGCGCTGGAAAAAGCTCTCAAAGCCTGGACGCGACTTTGAGACAGTGGTAGGCCGTAGGCCTTCGAGGTTCCGTCTAATACGATTCTTCTCCTCGACGACAAACTCTGCGGCGACGAGACGCTGGAGTAAATGAATGATATCGACGGAGGTAACGCAGCAAGAGTCCGTCTCGTCGCGGTAGATACACGAGATAACGATGTCTTTCGCGTCATACTCGCTTGGTGAGATGCGCTCCGCCGAAACGAGGAGTTTATGACCGTCCCGGATGCGAGAGAAGCGCACAAGGCGCCTACCGGCTTGCAGTTCCAAGTCATCCCAATTAGTAGCAGAAGCTGTCAAGCACAATCATGATCTCGAGGGTTGCAGGTCTGGGCGCCGTCGTCAAAGGCGTCGACTGCTTGTCTCGTGCGCCGAAGACCCTGAGCTTGGGGTTGAGGGCGTATCGATGATTTTTGCGCGTATGACTGGCTGGGTTCTGAATCTGAAGATGATGCTGGTGTTGAAGTGCGGCTGTACGGCTTGGATCGTCTCCTTGATCTATCTGACGACTCCTGAACGTGAAACGCCAACGATAGGTGCAGGTAGGGTGAAGGCTGAAGTATTTGACGAGAGACTAGGTGCGTGCTTTCGTATCATTTGAGCTGGATTTTTTTCACCCTCTGTAGGCGCTTTTGTAGTTAGAAGATGCGGTTGCGGGATACATGACGTTCATACCTGGTTCTAAATATGTAAATTCACCGAAGGTGACGGAATCAAGTAACGTGCTATCATCGGTTAAGGCCTGAATTGTCAAAGGCAGGTTCGGTGATGTAGAATTATGCCGGGCGAACGGGGGAACCGTGGCCTCGAGCTGCCAATGCCCGTAGCCCGCTGGTTCGAGCTCACTGACCTTGGTACCCACTGCACGTCGGCCGACGACCAGACGAATGTGGGACCCAGCAGCGAGATCAGCAGTGCAATTAAAATTCACGATGATGGGAACATTCTGTTCGCCTTCTGCAGGGGTATAACCCAAGACGTGTAAGATTCCAATAGAGGAAGAAGGGACGCGAGGGTATGAGCCGTGGAGCGGTGTAAAGCTCTGACACGCGGCTGCCGCCGGACTGCTGAGAACGTGTACTTCGCCAGTGGAAGGGCCTTGTGTGTCCTCAGATTGAATGCTGTATGCCGGCATAGATTGTGCGGCCATTCCTACTCGGATAAGTGATGAGCTGTGGCGTTGCCGCATTAAAGAGATAACCTCACCTAGTGATGCCAGTAGACAGTTTTAGTAAGTAATAAGATGAAGTATTTTAAGCACTAAAATGCTTCACGATGAGAGAACGAGGTCGAAGACCAGGATTTGGTGGGGCTGACGGAGAAGTCAAGGATGAGGATGAGGATATGGACGAGTGGCTGACTTGTGAATGTTATATCGAAACCAGCCAAAATCGCGATTGGGGCAAACAAAAGCAAAAAAGGATATTTGAAGATGATCGACAGTAGGGGAATTATGGCAGAAAGAGGCTAGATATATAGGAGGCGAACGTTGAGCAGACCTTGCACTTATACTGAATATTTTAAACTCCAAGCTATGATAAAGCAGGAATAATAGAGAAGGAGGAGAAGATCAGTGGGTCGTGTCAAGTATATCCTATGATACAAACCTCAATCTGAATTTTCCAGAAAGTTAACTTCGATGGTTGGGTAGCCCTCGTGCGCGTTCCTCCTTTTTCGTGCCAACAAGAGCATCTGCCCGATCTACTATCTTGCCAAATTTATTCCAAATTAAATGGTGCCTCGACCTTCTTGGTCTAGCCAACCCCCGATCCCAACCAAGTAAATCTTGGCAGTTAAATTTGGTCACAATTTATTCGCCCCCAGGCTGCGCCGCCAACGAATGTAGGCTTAACCAAAAAACTCCAAGTCAGTAAAAGAGGTCGGTATGCATTATAAAGCCGCCATCACTGCATCACGAGAATTTACCTCAAATGACTGTGGTAAACTTATCTGGCATAAACTGTCCTCGCGGAGTTGATAAGATTCACAAACAATAGAATATAAAATCAAATGGCAGGTGAGGTCCACAGGACAATGGCTTAGCGACGCACCCTCTGACCCCATGGCGATTGACAGAGGGAGCGACCTGGTGCCTAACACGCTGACTAAATCATTTACATATGCGCATTGATAGCACTCATTGAATAAAGGGTCTCTGTGTTTTCTTTGTCAAGTGGCGTTCCATTAGGTTCCATTCAGTTCATTGGTGTGCTCTGGAATGGGCTGTGTGAATTTTTGGAAACGCGATCCCATCTTCTTGTACCACATTTACTGTCTTCATTCGCGCCTCTAATGAAGACAGCATAGAGCGAGCCAGGACAACGGTCTGACATGGCCGACCCGGGCCGCACGTCACCCTCTTCTTCCCTTTGGAGTCTAGTCCATATGCACAATGCGAGGCACATAAGAAGTGCCAACCTGCCAGCCGCGCAAGAAAAAATCGCAGACGATGATTGGGAATTCACGGCTCCGAACCAAGCGGCGCGCCATTCCAAGAACGTCATTGAATTCAAGAACACATCCCCAAATCCCAAATGAGTTCAGGGTCGAGTCTAAGCACATTGATCGAAGAATTTACGTATGTCAAGAAGTCCACATAATGGAATGAATCGTATCAGTCTTCAAGCTCCGAGCACATAGATATGCCACAATCAGCTATACATACAAGTAACATGACGCGACTCCCAATGTCCATCTGGGTAATCTGCGGTTCGATTCCCCGCTGGAGCGGCATCCGGATTAGTGACGCCGCCGGGATTGGATTCATCTGCTTTGTTCGCATTGAGATCAATAATTTGCTGGGCACCTCTGGTAATCCATAGTCTCCCAGCTGGAGGAACGTGGCCCTCGGCCGAGAGCACTCGTTCGCAACTAGTACACTGATCGACAAAAAGTCCTCGATAAGATACCAAAAGATGCTTTGATAAACAATCAACACATGAAAAATGATAAAGTTTGGATGCCTTACAATGAGTGTCTGAAGAGGGACTTGTGGGTGTGATTGGGCCATTTTTGCAACATGCTCAGATAGTACTTGGAATGCGAGATAATCGGATTGCATATGAGGTAGCTTCTATTCAAGGGCAAGTACATTGTGGCCACAAATCAGAAGACTGAATATTAAAAAAAGCTAGCTTATCCGTACCATCTCTCTGGGACCAAACGCAGTTACACTCTCTACAAGGAGAGGATCTTCCAAGCGATCAAACACGAGGGAGACATAAGCCGTAAGTACATCCTCGATGGTGAGCCGCAAGATAACGGGACTAGTCAACTTCGGTCGAGGCCCATTCATTGCTTGATCGAATTGTGGCGGGCGCGTCCTAGACCACAGGCATAGTCTACATTTCGGCTGGAAGGGTTCGCCGATCCCCGCACTGTGGAGCAACTTTGTGTCACGAGAACTCCCTCTGTTGAATTCTCGAATATACTCTATCAGCCCCTCGGCGCGCAATCGTGGAGGTTCATCCTCAAATGGTGGGAATAAAGATGAAGTTGGCGGTGGCGGCGGTATGTAAGGCTGAGGTGAGCCAACCGGTGAAAGTGGTCGCCTAAAGATCCGGAAAGGATGAACGTATCAATACATAACGTACAACTGTTACATAGAGGGATGTGTACTTACTTCCGCTTGCGATTATCTCTCTGGAACAAGCCAAGGTCATTTTTATCTGCGTCCTCACTCTCGCGTGAAACTTTCAGCGCTTCTTGTATCTTTTCAGAGCGCAGGCTATCGGCTATGGTTTTTAGAGTGCGGAAGTCCTGTGCTGGGGTAGCGTGGAATGGAGCTGCAAAGTCGTGGTCGGTTGGATCGAATGGAGAAGAAAATTCGGGCGTATGGGACAGCGAGGATCCAGATGGAGGCCTCAACAGTAAGGAAGGTATATGTCGGACGGACTGGAGACGAATATGGAAGTCTGTAAGGGTTTGGATACGGTCATGGATGGTGGGTCCAAGATTAGAGATAGTTTGGGGAATTGTTGCTGCACTAGCAGTAGGCGTCGTGTCCATTGCCATCTCTGAGTCTCCTGACATAACTGAATAAAGAGTTATACCTCCGAAATTGTTGGAGCTAGCTCAAAACTAACTAGTTGCTAGCTAGCACTAGTATGAGCCGGTCGTGGTGGCTGTGTCGATACAACTGCTCATTCAATGCATATCCGCATACTGTATAATTTCATTCAATTCGACTATCACGCGCAAGCCTTAGTATATACTGGAATTAAACTCAACATATCAGTATCGTTCACTGATCAAAGTGCACCTCGCATCAAATCTCGTTCAAGTTTCTACTCCGATGCTCGCCAGCCCACACCATCCTCCCTGCGCCTTCAATCGACCCATGAGGAAGCAAGCAAAGTATGAGTCTTGACGGCGCACAAGGAACCGGTGACAATCCTCGAGGCTCTCCAACAACTTTCCCATGGCACTCGTTTCTGAGCCCTCTGCTTTCAGCTTCTCATCATAGAGACCCTCCATCTGGTATATCTGCATGCGAACGTCAGATGGGCCCATCAACAGTACACTAACACCCACATCAGCGTCGGCCCATGCAACGAGCCCTAATTTGTGCATGATCTCCTTCTCGTGATTTCTTTGATAGTTTCCTTCCCCTAGCCATACACCAACATCCGCAAATTCATCACTTTCGCTGATTTGTCCCGCGACAAAGCTTCCACAATAATGAGATTCCGCAGTCTTTTGCGCTGCTTGAACGAGCTTTTCGAGGTAATCAGTGACTTCAGGTGGTGGGGCAACGTCTGTGTTGCTCGGAGCGATCGATTGTAATTGTGGCAAGAAAATAGGGGGGTTGTAGTGAATGGACTCTAATTGTGCGCTGCTGCAAAGAGCTTGCAGCGTCCTCGTGGTAGCTTTTTGCGTTTGTATGTTTAGTTGTTCCATGAGGGTGTCCGTATCTTGTTCAAGGATGTATGAATTGAGCTTGATCATGATGGTGGTCATGTCAATATGACGAAATGCGGAGTCAAATACGGTAGATCGACTAACTCGATTGAGAATATCAGTTCTTTAGACAACGTCCTCTGGCAATCTTGCTACTCAGTAATTGCATGGACAACAAAATATGCCCGCAGTATTGCCAGCAGTACTCAATATATGCCATAGCCGGATGTCAGTCACAACAATAGCTTCAGAGCCGGGAACGAGCGCCTTGTTAGTCTATCAAGGGAAACATATAAGATCTTATTGTAAGCATGCTGGCTTACTTGAGTTCCCATACTCAGTATATATACTGTCGCTAATACTGAAAGCTAAGCTTTCAGTATTCTACCTTTTGATGTAACGGTTATGTGCGTGCGGCAGTCTGACCTACTTACACTTATTCAACGCAGTGTAGTATTCCGAATACGTGTGTGCATTCAATATTCAATCAAAACAACTCATGTACAGAGAACAGAGAACAGTTATCCGGGCGCACCACTTTGACATTCCTTCAATAAGCCCTCGTGATCTCGTAATGACCAGTGGATGGGTTCCGTGTGAGGTTCCACGTCGTATTCTCTTCATGAAGCGCAGCAAGATCTTGCTTCCAGAGACAAGGGGTGTCAATGGCACCTCGCAAGATGGTATTCTCTTCATAGTCCGAGGTGATGTAGGCGCGCAGGATCGGAGTGAACTGAGCGGTGACTTTACCGCGGTGTCTATGTTTTGTATTGTGAGTTCCCTGGAGGAGAAATAAAGGGAATAAGACATACTCAACGCCACTAAAGTGGAGCACCGGCTTAGGCATTAGTTTTCCCGGGCTCATAAAGCCTGTAGTTGGACAATTCACTGAGGCGAAGAAAAAAAAGGCAATAGAGGTCACAAACCGACTGCAATGTCCTGAGCGACCCCGGTGTTGTTCCAAGCCCTTACGCAACCATTGATTCCAGGCACAGGGTCCTACAAGAGGTGTTCGTGTACTGTCGTGAGAAAGATACCTAAAAGTAAGCCAAACTTACGGAGAAATGGAAGACATCATGCGCCTCAGTCAGGGTCGTCGCTTGGCCATACTGCGTTATAGTTTTACGTTCATGCTAGGTATCGCAGAGTATATAAGAGTCGCTCACGTTGATCTCGATGCAGGTTGAAGCTTCAGTAATGTTCCCCTCCACGACCTGTGGTTTGAGGAAAGCAAGTCTGGAAGTTGAATGACTGAATGAGCATTATCTGAGTCATTTTTGGGACAGACTTACTGGCTCGTGTAGGTCGCGACCATGCTGTATGAACCTGGGACGAAGGGTCATGGTAAGTTGGAAATTGGGCAGGGGGGATATAGGGCAACACTCACCCCTCTTGCCGAATGGGCTCACTCTGAAACGTTGCAAGGTTTGAAACAATCGCACGAGAAGGCGGGGGTCCTCACCTCCAAACTACGGGATAGAATTTATCATAGATGCCTTCCGTGTAGCTATCGAAAGTGAGCAAAAGCGTCGATTCCCTGCCGAGATCGTCGCTGCGACACGGTCAAGTAAAAAAAGTGCCGAAGGCAGCGCGATAGTGCAAAGTCACTCACGTCTGAAAGGTCAAATTTCTGATGAAGGTTTGTGACATTTCTTGAGATGGTAAAACACAATTTGCAGACATTGAGTGTGGATTAAAGAGGTTCGATTTCTGCGGTTGGGGGCTCGACAACTTGAAGGAGATCTTTTATACATCTCAGTGGCCTAGAATGTGACTGTCTCCTTGGCTTGCAAGATAGTCAGCTAACCCTTGGCGGACCCCTTCCGCGCCTTTGTGCCTTCGTACCTGCCGCTGGGGACTTAATGTAATGATTGTGGCACCTCTGACATACCCGCGCGCTGCCACCAAGCTGAAACCCTTGGATAGGCCGTACCTGCTTGGTTTGCTATACAGTCAACTTTGTGCTTCGTACTTACCTGTAGTTGCAATTTGGGGCCGCGCGCTGCCACAACTTCTGGCACCCTGGGATAGGCCGTACCTGCTTGGTTTGCCATATAGTCAATTTCCCCTTGGCATTAAGTCTGCACCTTTAACAATTTCGTGCCTCATACTTACCTGTAATTGCAGTTTGGGGAGCTCTTGAAGTAAGTATACTACTTATGTAAGTATTCGTCTTTCGTCTGGAAGTTCGTACTGCCGTTTTCGCATACCCCGAAAGGGCATTTGCTTATCAAATGCTTGTTATGTACATACATCCCGTGGCGCCTGTCCCGACTCCGACGCTAAGTACGCAATTGAAACGCAAATTATTGAAGCCAAGTACATGGTAATTTATCGTGTATATCAGTCTCTTGAACATCCATCGAGTTTCGAGTGGATGAATGACCAGCTTTGTCTGCCCTACAGATAATGTACGGCGAGACAAAACCATCCAGTTACCACGACACTCGACAAATTTAAACCTTCAAACCAGACTGTCTCATTACCACACTCGAAAAATTTGCTGACTCTATGTATATACTACTCTGCCCTTTTGCCATGCCCATGTCAAACTTGAGCAGGAAGAACTGAACTGATTCAACCTTGTAGTCCGCTTCACTGGCGCTAACACTTACCTCCAGCAGCTCTTCATCCCACTGCTTCACGATCCTGGAGGCGCTGCAGCGCATAAGAAACCGGTCTACGATGCCGGTGAGTCGCATGGTTAAATAGGCAAACTACTCATACTCACTAGCAAATATTGATGCTATCAAAGCAGCAACAACGGCGAGGACAAAGGAGAAACGCATTGTTTGTGAGGATGTGATATAGGATCAAAATAATCTGATGGGGACAGTACGAAGACGGCTTGCATTTGTGTGCTGAATATTGTTACTCATGGCGATGTAGGAAGAACCTATCCACCCTTTCGAACAGATAATATCTGCAATGCCAGCGGGTTGCCACCTAAGATCTTGAGGCAAGATCGGCTCGAATCTGCTGTCGGGAACGACTCGACGTTTCCTTTCATAGCTTTTTCACGGACGCCTGGATTTTTCAGCTACAAAAAACTCCCGTCGATGTTTTTGGAGACTTCCTTGCTTATCTCTTCCGCTGTATGAAGAGTTTTATTATAGACACGCGTCCCATCGGCCAGACCTTGTGGCACCATGTCGAAAACAGCATCGAATGCGTCTTGAGTCATCCCAACAGCTGGGAGGGCGCCCAGCAGACGAAGATGCGACGCGCCGCCGCACATGGCGGTTTAATTGCGATACAGACGAAGATCGCGCGGGGGTCCGTTTCGTCACTGAAGGAGAAGCCAGTCTTCACGCATGTGTCCAGAGAGGTCTCGCGGCCGATGTTCTTTCCGTGTGCATTCCGACATATCAGGACATATCCCATACATGAACTTGTAGATCATAAGCAGGTGAATGGAATACAGTATGTGCTGGAGATGGTATATGCAACGCATATGATATACACGAGACCTAAGCCAGCATATAATGGAAACATTGTTTATCAAATGCATTGTTGTCTTACATCAAAACACTACGTCGACTGCGCTGCGTTTATGAGTCTGACTTACTTTTCCCGACACGGAAACCAAGGGACCTGATCTGCGACTATGAGGCCCCAATCAATTGGAATCGAAAAAAAAACCAAGTGTAAGATTAAGGTAGGATATCATATGGCAGGAGAGTGGTATTTACTTAGTACTTATTTATTTCAAAGTGATGGTTAGTGTCACCATCCTTCTGAAATGCTAAAGCGACGGAGGAGGCAGCAAGCGAAGCAAGCTTCGTGACTAGTTGCAAGTTGCAACGATGAAAATAAGATGTGCCGATTGACGAAATAATCAGTGCATCAACCTGGCTGATGGCTGTCAGGCTGACGTACCTCGGAGTTGAACAGGGTTTGGTGAGAAACGCGACTGACAAAAAATACACTGTAAAGTTGCACAAACCTCACACTGAGTTGTTATGGTGGTGTCTCACATGACATTGAAATCGCCTCTGACGGTGCAGCACATTGCTAAGTAATAGAGGTATAAATATATATTCCGAGCCGCTACATGAGATTACGAGCGACGTTGTAAAATACGAGCACCACTTTTGGGACTCCGAATGAAGTTGCTACGCAAACAGGCATTGAGATACAGACAAGAGACAACATATATTTGGGGCGCACCAAGTTGGCAGAAGATCCTTCATCAAGCCTGGGTAATCGAGTAATGTCCATTGGCTGGGTCTCGTTTGAGGTTCCAGATAGTGGACTCAGGAAGAGCGGCAAGATTCTTAGACCAGATCGCGGGGGTGTCGATGGCACCTCGCAAGATTGCAGTCTCTTGATAGTCCGAGGTGATGTAGGCGCGCAGGACCGGAGTGAACCTTGCAGTAACGTTACTGCCGTCGCTGTGTTTTGTACTGTGAGTGCTCTGAAGGGGAAATAGAGGGAAGATGACATACCCGACTTCGTTGAAGAAGAGCGCTGGCTTGGGCATCAAGTCTCCCGGGTTCATAAAGCCTGGAGGTGAGATACAGTGAGGTGAAAGGAAAGGAAAAGATGGCGGTCACAAACCGATTGCCATGTCCTGGATAGCCCCAGTCTTGTTCGCGGCCTGCAGGACGCCAGTGATTCCCGCCTTAGGCGGCTACACAAGGTATTCTTCAGTTATCGAGAAAAGATCGACTGAAGCCAAACTTACAGAGAAATGGAAGACATCATTGACATCGGTCAGGGTGGTTATTTCTCCGTCCTGCATGATGGCTCGGATTGGTGCTAGGAATTGAAGAGTAGATGAGAGTCGCTCACATTGATCTTGACACAGGTTTCAGCGTCAACAATGTTCCCACTGACGACTTGTGGTATGGAAAAGGCAAGCCTATATGTTGGATAAGCGGCGTCCATGAGAATGATTTGAGTCTTTTGTCTTACTGGCTCGTGTAGGTTGCGAGCATCCTGTATGGGCCTAAGACGAGGGGTGATATCTAAATTAACAACTAGGTAGCAAAGATATGGGAGCACCCACCCGTCTTTCCGAATTTGCTGACTCTGAAACGAAACGAGGTTTGAAGTAATCACAGGTGAAACCGATGGCACATACCTCCAAACTACGGGGAAAAAATCCTGGTAGAGGCCTTTCATGTCGGCATCGAAAGTGAGTAAAAGCGTGGACTCCTTGCCGAGATCATTGCTGGGAGATGGTCCGGTAAACAGAGTTGAAGACAACACACGATAGTGCAAAGACACTCACCACTGAAAGCTTAAGTTTCTGATGAAGAGGTGTGACATTGCTTCAGATTGTAAAACACAAAGTGCAGTAGGGATTGGGTGTGGATTGAAGAGCTTGTTCTGCGGTTAGATGCCCAGGAAGGCCATCTTTTATATGCCCCGGGTCGCGTAGCCTGTGACTGCTTCCTTGGTTTGAGATATGCTTGGGGTTCCCTCATGCCTTCGTACCTGCTGCTGGAGACCTAACGTATTACGCATCCCCTTACCCCTTGCTGTAGCCTTTCCCGCTGGACTTGTGACATAAAAAATAGGTCACCAGTCTACTTTCCCGTACCTTCGTGCTTTCGTACCTGCCGCTTGGGAATGCCTCCCTTTCCATATCAGTACATGCTAGCCTGAAGGCCGTACCTGCTTCGTTAGCCGATACAGGTAGTTTCTCGCTGATGACCTTCGTGCCCCTCCATCGGCCTCGGAAGTTTGTAGCTGCCGCTGTGGCGCTTTGTACCTGCCCTTCATTGCCCCCTCCCTCGCGTGTTATATCCCACCGCATCTTTCTCGCTAATATTCACTGTTCCTGTTCCTCAATCCTTATCTGGATGTCATGCTGCCTGAACTTTTCTGGGCGCCAAGATGATGATCAGAGTGGGAGAAGTCATAAATCTTCATCAATAGTGGGACTGCTGTAAAGACCGAGCCTACAAGAGATTCATATTGGGTTAGAATGGGATTGCAGGATGACAGCAGAAGCGAGTTGAGATTAGCGTCAACGGCAGTGACAATCTCTCGTTGATTGTTTGTCGAGATGTCATATGTGCGAGGTCGAAGATAACGTACATGCCTTCCGTCACCTGCCGGGGCTATCTCGCACCCGCCGCCCTCCCGTAAATGCCGTCCTAATTCCAGTGCCTTCTGCCACAACCCTCCCGCGCTTACTCGTTCGGCCACCTCGCCGTCACCCTCCCAGAACACGCCCATCCGCCTTCCATGTTTCCTTGGCTTTTGTTTGTGCCACGGCTGGCCGGTTTGTTGATAACTTGAGAATGCTCGACTCATACTGCGGCCAAGAAGTGCACATTGTCACATAGTGTTGAATAAGGTTGGTTTTATTGCCTCATTCACCAGAGGGGCGTAGGACACCAGCAACTTCAAAAATTACAGGCAGCTGCAGGTGAGCAGTGAGCACGCAAAGAAAAAGAGTGGTGGATTTGGATTTGGAAGTGCGGACAAGACGGGACGTGGAGGTTCGGGATTGGGTGAAGAAGACTAAGAGACATTCTGAAACGGAATGGACCTTGGTTTGCCTGGATTCATCATTCATGCACATGAACAGGACTATATGACGTTTTTGAGCAATGAACGATCGAGACTCGTGTAGTCGAGTCGATTACAGGACAAGCTGCTCAAATGGAGAGGGAGCACGCAGAGATGTGGAATGGAGTGGATGGGCGAGTCCAAGCCATATATATGCCTTGATCAAGCGAGCGTGAGTGGTAATTATAGCACATTTGACTTACATATAAGTAGAAGAGTTCTCTCGATAAGTAACAATGGTGTCTTGTCAGTTCTGGACATGGGATGAGTAATATATATGTTAAACTCGAGCACACGGAGAAATATGACGAGCCTATCCACGAAGAGGATTCAGACGGCAGTTTGCAATTGCAAGGTTTCCTAGGGAAAAAAATCCATTATCTTGCCCTAGCCCGCGAAACGCGTATGCTCAGTCACTCGGAGTTGATGGTACCTACTACTCATGCAAATAGATATCCATAGTCAGGAGAAATTCCTTGGGATGTCATCAACGATAATATTTATTCGAAGCCTGGGATAACATCGATGAGGCTCGCACGCAGTCAGGGGAAATCTTGTTGAATACTGCTCAAGAGACGCAGTACTCCAAATATATAAATATTATAAGGTAGAGCTATATATCAAACCCGTACAACTATTGCGAACTATTACACGCGCGATGTTGCAACTGAGACAGGCTGTTTGTACTCCAAATGAAGATGCTACGAAAACAGGGAGAATATTGAGATACCAACCTTAGACAACAGACATTTAGGCGCACCAATTTCGCATTCCTTCATTAAGACTTGGTGATCGAATAACGTCCCGTGGCTGGGTCTCGGCTAAGGTTCCAGGTAGTGGACTCAGAAAGAGCAGCAAGATTCTGCGACCAAATCGCAGGGGTGTCGATGGCACCTCGCAAGATTTCAGTCTCTTGATAGTCCGAAGTGATGTAGAGGCGCAGGATCGGAGTAAACTTTGCAGTCACGTTACTGCCGTCTCTGTATTTTGTGCCGTGAGTTCCCTGCAGGCGAGATAGAAAGAAGATCACATACCCGATTTCGTGGAAGAAGAGCGCCGGCTTGGGCATCAAGTCTCCCGGGTTCATAAAGCCTGAATGTGAAATACACTGAGGTGAAAGAAAAGGAGAAGATCGCAATCACAAACCTATTGCCATATCCTGGACGGCCCCAGTCTTGTTCACGGCCTGCAGGATGTCCGGGGTTCCTGCCTTAGGGGGCTACACAAGTTATGAGTCAGTTGTCGAGATGAAGATCAGTGACAGACTTACAGAGAAATGGTAGACATCATTGACATCAGTCAGGGTGGTTTGTTCGCCGACCTGCATGATGGCTCGCGTTGGTGCTAAGTATCGAACAGTAGATAAGAGTCGCTCACATTGATCTTGACACTAGTTTCAGCGTCAACGATGTTCCCATCCACAACCTGTGGTATGGAGAAGGCAAGCCTATGCGGTGAATAAGAGGCGTTCATGAGCATGATCTGGGTCCTTTCTCAGACATAGACTTACTGGCTCGTGTAGGTCGCGCGCATCCTGTACGGACCTAGGACGAGGGGTGATATGTAAGTTGCCAACTGGGCAGCAAAGATGTGGGAGCACCCACCCGCTTTTCCGAACTTGCTGACTCTGGAACGAAAAGGTTTGAAATAATTGCAGGCGAAACCAAAGGCACTTACTTCCAAACTATCGGGAAGAAGTCTTGGTAGAGGCCTTTCATATCGCCATCGAAAGTGAGCAAAAGCGTGACCTCCTTGCCGAGATCATTGCTGCGAGACGGTCGGGTAAGAAGACAGCAGATGTTGATGATGCAAAGACACTCACCACTGGAAAACCAAGTTTCTGACGAAGAGGTGTGACATTTTTTCAGATTGTAAAACAAAAAGTGCAGTTGAGATTGGGTGTAGATTGAAGAGCTTCGAGTTCTGCAGTTAGAGACTCAGCAAGGATGTCTTTTATATGCCTTGGATCGCGTAGGCCGTACCTTGGTTCGTGTGGGCCTTCTCGTGCCTCCGTGCCTCCTCGCTTAGCTTGATTCACTGTATCACCAGTTTTTTCTTGGCCTTTCCCGCTCCTTCAATACCTCCGTGCCAGTCGCTTGACACCAAGCATTATGCCTCCCCTTCCATATCTGCGCGCTCTCACCTGTAAAGTTCGTAAGTCCTTCCCTGGTTTGCTACACATGTAGCCAGGGTCTCCTTGATCCCTGTCCCGCCCCTTCATCGGAAGCTTGTAGCCGCCGTTGGTACCCCTTTGTGCCTGTCCTTGATGCTCCCCTGTTATCGTACCCCTTCACAATTGCTCAAGTACCAAGCCCAGAGGAGCAGAGTAACCCACTCCGTCGTCCGGCTAGGTAATAAGTAGTTGTTGGGCTCATCCCGTGTCCGTCAAATCGCACCAATACTATTACGCAGTCTATCAGAGTTGTACAAAACAGCGACCGAGCAATACAACAGACTTACTGCCTGCTGCTGTCAGCGTTTGGAATGGGCTTCACAAATGTCGATATACATAGGTTTGTCGGACTCCAGAACACTGCCACAGTGTATCAGCATCAAAAAATGCCTTTTTGGGGTATGCAATTCCGAAACGGCAACTACGAACTTCCGAACTCAGGGCGAGGCGTGGACCTGAGGTGTTAAGTTGCCACTGCAGGACGGCGGGGGCACAAGAATTTTAAAGGTGCGGGAAAAGTCAAGGGGAAACTGATAGAAAACCAAGCAGGTACGGCCTATCCCAGGCCGGCAGCGCGCGTAATGCATTAGGTCCCAGCGCGGCCGGCCAGGTACGAAGGGGACAGAAGGTGCGGGAAAGGCCCACCTAGACAAAGGGGGCTATATTTCAGACCAAAAAGCTGGTACATACCTGAGGCATAAAAAACGCGCTCGCCGATTGTCTAAAAACCCTTTCGTCCACACTCAATCTCAACTGCACTCAATCTCTAACAATGCCACACGCCTTCGTTCAGAAACTTGTCCTTCCAGACGTGAGTGTCCTTGCGCTATCGCCCCTCGTCACTTTTTCACCCGACCGTCTTGCAGCAAAGATCTTGGCAAGGAAGTGACGCTTCTGTTCACTTTCGATGGCAACATGAAAGGCATCTACGAGCAATTCTTTCCCGTAGTTTGTTGGTAAGGACCCGCACTTTCACTCGCGTTGGCTTCGAACCTTGCAACTTTCAGGCTCACCACATTTGGGCAGACGGGTGGGTGGCCCTGTCCATTTGCCCAATTACCTATAACCCCTCGTCCCAGGCCGATACAGGATGCTTGCGACCTACACGAGCCAGTAAGTCTATGTCTGACAAGGGCCCGAAGCATGCTCATGGCCCGTACTCACTCATCGTATAGGCTTGCTTTTTCCAGTCGACAAGTTAACAACGGGAACATTGTTGACGCTGAATCCTGCGTGGAGATCAACGTGAGAGACTCTCATCCAATCTGCGAATTCTAATGCGGACGCAAGGCACCATGCAGGACAGCGAAACAACCACCCTGACCGAGAAGCATCGCGTCTTCCGGTTTTCTGTAAGTCTTGCTGTAGTATCTTTATCCTGACGGCTCATGAATCGCTCGTAGAACCCTGTTGAGGGAGTCGCTGGTTGCCTGGAAGCCAGGAATGAGACTGGGTCCATTCAGGACATTTCACTCGGTTTGTGATTACCATATTATTATTATTTTCCGCCTCAATATGTCATCCCACTCCAGGCTTCATGAGCCCGGGAGAGTTTATGCCTAAGCCAGTGCTCTACTTCAAGGACGTTGAGTGTGTCATCTTCCCTTTATTATCACCGCAGAACTCACAGTACAAAACACAGAGACGGCAGCCGCGTCACGGCTAAGTTTACTCCGGTCCTACGTGCCTACATCACGCCGAATTATGAAGGGACCGCGATCTTGCAAAGCGCCATTGACACCCCTGTGATTTGGGAGCAAAATCTCGCCGCGCTTTCTGAGTCCACGACGTGGAACCTCAAACGGGATCCAGCCACTGGACGCTACACGATCACCCAAGCTTATCGGGGAATGTCACACTGGGGCGCGTAGGTATCTGCTGCCTGAGGTCTGTATCTCAATTTTCTCCCTGTTCTGTTACACAGCATGACTCGATTACGCTTTGATTGCTAGTTCTTCGCCTTTTATCACGTCACTCATCTCCCGAGAGGCTGTTGTACAGGTATACATTATAATGTATTTATATACAGCAGATAGATTTCATGTTGTTGGATTCGCCCGAAGTAAACAGTGGAATAAGCGATTATCCAGCTTCCAAAACGAATATTTTCTGTCGACGGCTTGCCAGATTAGCTTTTAGCTACCGGGCGAATGTCCATTTTTGAGTCACGATTGCGCAACTCGACTTCGACTCGTCGCAGAAAGTCAGGGAATTAATACTTGGAGAGCTGACACTGGTCCTCAACAGGCTTCTCCAGGATGTCTAGGGGTTAGTGTGACTAGAGGGCGTGACCACGTGACAAGAAGTAACGCTCAGTTTTACCTTGATACTAAGTTTGAAGTACTTAAGTTACATTGCAACCATCCCTCCATAATATCATCAGGGTTGCTTCTCATTGTATGCTTCGCTTTACCGGAAAGAATGTCGCGGTGAACAGGTTCGTGCCCTCGAATTCACTCAGCGGGGAGTCATACTGACATGATGTTTACCTCCAGGACAGTAGTCCAACCACGGCGACTACACTTGGTGCTTTCAGGCCAATGTCTTTCTTCTGGTAGATTGCAGCTGGCTTATCACCACGCAAGAGTTGGACGGACAGTTTTAGCACGATTCGCTTCTACTTCCACTTCTTCCTCCGATGCCAAGTCTAGTCATACTCCAAATCTGCCACCTTCTAGTGTATCACCTCGCAAGCATCGGGTGGAGCTTAAGCCTGGCCCATTGAAAGGACCTTCACAATCAAGCACGACACCGCGCCCTCACTCGACATCTCCAAAGCAAACACACCCTTCATTTCCAGCATTTCGTCCATCTCCGAAACCAAGTACACCAGATCCTGTTCCGTCTGCGATCGAGCTGGCGAAGCAAGACATAGCAGATGCAACTGCTCAGGGAGTCCTTCGACCAGCTCCGCCTGATGCTGGTTCCATCAGGCGCTTCACTCATCAAGCCATCGAACTCTTTGTCTGTGTTTAAACTCATCGGCGCATTCGCTCCCCTAATTCCTTTTGACCCCTTCAGAAATTTTATTTCCGAGGCCTAAAGGCTATAAACACGCACCGTAAACAGGCAGCAGCAATTCGTGCCCGCGTAGCTGCGGGCGGTCCAGCAGCCTCAAGAGCAGAGTCACGTTTTATCAGAACATTCCAGCAGGATGCACTAAAGTACACATCTGTCCACTTATCTTGATTTTTCTCAATCCCTCACCTCTAGGCTCATCCCGTTCGTGATTATTGTCTTAGTTATGGAGGAGCTCATTCCTTTCATTGCCCTTTACGTCCCTCGAATGTTGCCTTCTACGTGCGTCCTTCCAGGTCAACGTGATCGTATCAATGCGAAGGCACGCAAAAATCAACTGCTGGCTCTTGCAGAGAACCGGCAATTATTCGAACTCTTGCGGAAAGAAAGTGAAAGCTCTGGCTTCATTGCGGCGCAAAGTCTGGGTCGGCCAGGAGCACTGTGCGGGTACGTACTTTTTGAAGTATATTTTCAATGCTGTACAAGAGCTTTGTAGAATCATTGGTATCCCCGCTTGGCCACCTCAACTGGCTCAGTGGCGTCTGCAACGCCACCTCCAGAACATCTCATCCGATGATACGATGCTCAAACAAGAGGGATATGGACGTGATCTCACCCTTCCAGAGTTGAAGGAAGCCTTGCAAGAACGTGGAATGTGAGTACGCCCTGTGATATTCAAGGGGTGGTTCCTGATCGTTGTGCCCCTCCATGATATACATAGGCCTACATTCAGCGAAAGAAATTCCGCAGATGAACTGAGGGCCCAGCTAAAGTGGTGGATAGACATGTCCGAGATCATGCCCGAGGGTGCGGACGCTGTTAGCAGGCGCCTGTTCGTGCTCGGTATAATTGGATCACACGAGTAAATGCTGTTGAGATGCTCCACTATTTTCATGTGACGTAGTGCTGGACAGACTTTCTTAGATCTAGAGGTCAATAATGATATTTCAACTCCACTCGTTGTATTCGCTGTATTGTCCCTATCAGTACAATCTACCAACCTAATACCTACTGATATGTGCATATGAAATGTATGGCGTAGCATAAGGCTAAAATTGCTAAGATGCAATGTCATACCAATGACAGCCGAAGCCCACTTTTTCAACTCTCAAGTCAATGGCAAGGCTCCTAAGCTGTTCACCGAAGTCATTCTTGTCCAGAGTGCATTTGAAGTTGCGGTAAAGAAGACGTTTGGTCGAACACGACGACCTGTTGAACAATGCCTTCACCGAATCAGGAAGCCATTCGTCGACGATAGCTTCCCAGCTGGGGTCTAGAGCAAAAAAGGCCAATTCTCGCAAAGATGGCAGAGATAGCACATCGAAAATGCGAGATAAGGGTGCTACATTCCCAAACTGAACTGCATCTTCTGATAGGTAGATGCTCAGGATCTCCAAGGCACGATGCTTGAAGGGCATCGTGTCAAGAGGAGGCGTCACGTCCAAGCTTCCGCGGCAACCGGAAAGCTTGATTTTTAGATGGATTAGCGCAGGGAAATCAAGAAGGACTTTCATAAAGTTGACCTCCGCCCCTGATCTGTCGAGTGTGAGGTGTGTGATTTGAGGGAACGTGGTGTGTGGGATAATGTTAATGAATGCCCCCTTCCCGCAGAGAGCAAGGTGCGTGATATTCGACAGGGGAAGAGGATGGTCGAAGTTGGGAAGGGATGTCGACGGCATTACAGATATCAAAACGTGTTTCACAGTGGCAGGGGAGCTGCTGGTCAGGAATGCGTTGATGTAGCCGTAACTGGCTTGTACATGAAGATCATAAAACCGCGCCGAGTGTGAGACCAGAAGACGGAAAAGCCCTGATTCCGTTGGATCGCATCGACGAAACCAGTCCCATTTCTGGAGGCACATCACACTGATAGCCAACGGACGGGTGCGTGATGCTGCAAGCCAGCGGGCCACCATCGCCGTATATAGGTCTGCGGTCCAGACGCCCCAATCATGGACATCAATAGAAGACCAGAGTTCTGGCGTTTCCTGTGCAATGACCCTCCAGCGACGACAAATCTGGCAAAGTAAAAGCGGGGCGGACTGTATGTGGGGAATGATATATCGATCGTCGGGGAGGCAGAATTTGAATATATGCTGGATAATTTCTGTGGGAAGGAACCTCACAGGGCTGATGCGAGCTCTGTTTGCGAGGATGCGAGTTTGGACTTCGTGCCGCTTCTCTTGCTGAAGGGACATGCGCACGTGTATCGCCTCGATATCAGCCTGTAGGCTATTGAGCATAGACTCTATGTTTAATAACTCTACTCCATCTCTCTGCAGGGCGATTCGAGCTTCGTTGATCTCCACCTCCAAGGGAGAGCATACGGAGTTCATCGTACAAAGGGCAACATCCAGTTGTTTGGCGCCGACAACGGTGATGGAGTCCATAGCTCTGTGGTAGACCGAGGATGTTTTGCTTGAAAGCAACATGCCTGTAAATTGGTCAGATCTCGTACGTTTGGCAGTGATTCAAGAAATTTGATTGCTCACTCCTTTGCACGACAATTCAACAAAGGGGTACCTCTGTCTGATGGGTAGTTGTTCGAAGAGGAACACGAGGCCCAATTCCAAGGTGAGGCCGGGTACCTGCGAATATTCCGCTTGGCTTGGCTGAACGTGTTCTATTACTCGCATTTTACGAGCCGATCGAGACAGACTCGGACTCATCCACTTACTCGGGTGCCCACCGAAGAGGTATAGGCAGCATTAGGGCATGATGCCAATCTCTGCCACGCCAAGCAATAGCCCGCGGAGTTAATCTCGATGCTGTTTATCGTGTAGAGAGCGCCAACTTGAAGGGAGGAAGTTGAAGGAACTGGAAACGAGTCATGAGGCTGTACTAACTGGCTCTAAGTTTAATGGCACGTTCTCAACTACTACGAATGCCTAATTAGGACGTTTCCCCTCTGTTGGTGATTGCCCAAAATCAAACTTGCAGATCCTACCGAGTGCTGCAAGTGAAATGCACATGGAGCGCTTCGCTTAAGGTGTTCTGGCCTAGAGGGTTGGGAGATTATTACTATGAGATCTTCAGATATCATTTCAGTTCTGTACAGCACCCAGCAATCCTTGAGGACTGATCTGCACCATTCCAAGGTGTCTATACAACTCCCTGCAAACCTGAAGTTAGGCGGGGCGAGATGATATTGATCTTGTTATGTAGTACACAAGTACTGATGCAACACTCCATCACTATTCAATTAAGTAGATATCAAACCTTCGCTCCTCGATACCCCTGGCCGTACGCTAGGCTCAGCGCTGACAATCCTACGCTTGTCAAATGAAATGGTACCATATCTACTTACAACATTTGTACCTGCGAAGCTGCCCTCGACAGGGCCAGCTACCTCAGTTCCATTTCCACCTTCCAGGTCCCACACCCAACTCGCTCCGTTTGCATTCGAACCGACACACCCGTCCGCAAGAGAAAGCGCACAGAATGAATTCGAGATCGGGGGTATATGGAAACGATATCATTGAAGTCGACTCGACGAGTGGCTCGGAAGTGGCTTCGGAGATGCTATGGGCTGGGTTGTCGCTTCGTCGGAAGTTCGTAGTCCACGACTCCCACGTCTGACATAATCACCGTGCAGCAGCTACGATATATGACGATGCGGATTCGGATGATGAAAGGCTTAGCTGTCCAGGCCTTGCCCAGACGAGCTAAAGGTTTCCTGCATTAGAGGTATCTGATGCTGTATCTATTTCAAGATCGACTATAACGCTTCCCCGTGTGCAGGTAAATATCAAGGAAGTTGTAACGTTAACTGCGTTAACTTCTGTGAACCCCCGAAGATGAGCGTTTTGAGAAAGTCATGACAGTGTAAGCGGAGATAACCACGTGGACAGTCGAAACCCTGTGAATCGTTTCCTACCTCTACCCCTCGTCACGATTCAATGCCTAGATAAACGTTCTATGTATTACAAGGTTAATCAATTGAAGCTTAAGGGTTCGGTATCAAACAAAAGGCTGGAGCGAGATGAGTTGTTGTCTCGCAATTAATATACCCCTCAGTGACGACAAGTAGCACCCGTGGGAATATTGATCATTATAGCAGAGCAAAAAAAGGTTGCAATATCAGCAGTTCCATACATATACAAGCCTTTGTCATGTCTCTCGGATCTCCCTTGAAAGCTGTCCCCCATCACCCCCCATGGAATTAGCCATGGACAACATCCCAAACTTCCCCCCTCATCGTTCACAAACTAATAACCACAATATATCTGCTTCTTCATCAGTCCTTGGCGACATCGACGCCGACGACCAGAGCACTATTTCAACTCATATAACACCACAGGATGATGAAAAGCCCAACAAAAAGTTGAACGATCCTGACAGCAATGACAAGGGGTCATCAGGAAAGAAGCCTCGTCATCGTCATAGTCCAACTCAGCTCGCTGCTCTCAATGAACTCTATGAGAAAACTGAGCATCCCAGCCTCGACGACAGGACAGAACTAGCTGAGAAGCTTGGAATGTAAGTTCCCCTTTTAGGCACTCTCATGATTTTATTCATTTGGTCGACGGGCGTCTTTTGCATTCATGTTCATTCAACAAACTTATCATCCTTGCCTAGGGAAACGAAGACCGTTAATGCTGTGGTTTCAAAACAAGAGAGCTTCTACGTACAAGAAGCGCAATAAACCAGCTGCATCTGCTTCGACTGACGCACCGCCCTAGTGTTGCCGCGAACTGAACCCAATCGAAACGAGGTGGGAGTTTGTTTTAGGTTCGATGGGTCGAGGTGAAACGAACCGAAGTGTAACAAATACGGCTCGAAGCTCCAGCCAATGAGAAGTGTTTGTAAAGTGAACTAGATATGAAGTGGCTATGTTTCATTCTACGTTATCATCGTCGACATTTTGTAATAGATCAGCAAGCTCGTCGAACTTCCCCGTAACTATCAATTCCTCTGCAGCCCCCTCGTGTCACAGGCCCCGAAATCCGATAGTCATCCTCTTTTGCAATCAAATCCCTAGTGAAACATAGTCTCTCCTGTCTGTAAGAAAACTTGAGAATCTGGTGTGCTTCCATCACTCGTGGTGAGAGTCTGCTTCGACGGAGTGTGCATGTTTCTTTGCTGGATGAAAATACACGTTCGCACGGCACAGAGGATGCCTGAGCTGGCAGGACATCCATAGCAACGCAGAAAAGTAGTGGATAGACTTTTTCCATGCGCTGAAATCGACTTTAGCGCCTTCCTTATGTGAAGGAAAAGTCGAGCTCACCTCCCAGAAGCGAACGAGATCAGTCACGCGCATAACGCTCAAGCTCACGCAGAGCATCTTGAGGGTAAAATGGTGGACGTGCATGAGTAGCGAACCGTGGCAGACTTGTATGGCCTGGGTGAGAGTGATGATGCTGTTGCTCAGATGCTGAAGGGATACCAGTAGCAGAAGCCGCAGAACTGTTCCACCGGTGAAAACTCATGTTTGGTGATTATAATACTAAACTCACGGTACGACGCACGAATTTATACGATGACCTAGACACCGGTCGCATAACCACGCTTGAGGATTGCTCAACATTTGTATTGTACAGCATTGCAGGCGCCTGTCCTCTGGCGCTAAAGCAGTACTGCGGTCCGATGAAAATACGTATAATTACGTTCTAGACCAAAAGGTTTGAGGACGGGAAACAGAGGAGCAGAATACATTGAGGAAATGCTAGAGATGTGACGTTGCTGGAGTACTACTCTAACAAATCACCAAGTCACAGGCCAGATTTAGCATTTCATTTGGCAGTTCGTTCCTAATTCGATGCTTACTATTACCTGATCCGGAATGCACAATCGATGGGTAATGCACAATGCACTCCAGAGCTCACCACTCTACATATATTTCATTCGGAACAGCTGGAGAACAAGTATTAGCATATGTTCAATAAGACTGCCAAATCAAATATTTAAAATCGGCGCTGTGAAGCCTTCCCGAGATGAAACATTGTGCGAATGTACCCAAAATGAGTGATTTTTGGACACTAAATCCAAGATCCACCCACATCCCATTGACCTATCAACATAGGAACTTCAACATGTATGAAATACACTATTCTGAATCTACCCCATGTGTTTCTATGTCAATAGAACACCACCACAGCGTGCTATTCACGATTCATGAGCAAAGCGTGACGGTCAGGCTAGATTGGGAAATCACACTCTCGGCTTGGTTGAGTCTCCGCTTTGTTTGCATTCGGCAACACTGGACTTTCATTCGCTTTGCGCGCTGTCGGACTTTGGATATCATTGTGTATTGGCCGAGGTGCCGCGCGTGACATAGTGTGACGAAATTGTGCATTTCTTTTGTGTTTTCGACATCTCAACTTCCAGTGCTGCCGCTGCAACAAGCTCGCAACAAAATAAAATAAAATCTTGTTGGGCCTTATGCGCAGAGACCTAAGGTATACACTACAGTAGATCCGATACGAACATGTGTTGTTGTTGTGTTGCTATTCAGCAATAAGTGAAAATTGTGCATTTCCCATCGAATGATAGTATCTACAACGAGGCGTAAACGAATCGAGTTGTATCGAACTGCCTCAGTTTCGAACCGAACCCGAATTACCTCGAGGTCACTTCAGTTCGACAGCAACACTACCTGAGAACCAGACTCGAGATAGCGATCGGCAACATGCCGTGTATGCCGAGAGGGGCCACTTTGTACCCGACGCGGATAGCCGCTTTGTCTCCGAGAATGACGGCGCCAGTGATGGTGTTACGTCTCGAAAGGGCAGAGGCGAACCAGCTCGCAATAGAACAACCCCTGAGCAAGCTGACGAGCTTCGTCGTGCATATGCATCGAATGCACATTCAACCAAGGAAGACCGAAGAGAACTCGCTGAGCGAATTGGCATGTCAGTGGTGTTTTATCAAGATCATCATCGTATCATCATACTGATATTGCATCGATAGGCGCCTTCAAAGCGTGACAAATTGGTTCCAGAACCAACGGACCCAGGCCAGGAAACATAAAGAAGACCACCATCCCTTCACGTCTTCTTCATCGACAACTGCAGATGGATCGTCCCTCTGTCCCATCTCACCCATCCTCTGTTATCGATGATGATCACGGAGTTCCATAATCAGTTTGGAATTTGCAATCACTGGATGAGAATGTGGTTGTGGACATGGCGTGCGTCTTGTGCCCCAGGCAGGTCGGCGAGTTTTCCCCCATCAGCCGCCATGGAATTAAGCTACCTCAGTTCCATTTCCACCTTCCAGGTCCCACACCCAACTCGCTCCGTTTGCATTCGAACCGACACACCCGTCCGCGAGAGAAAGCGCACAGAATGAATTCGAGATCGGGGGTATATGGAAACAATATCATTGAAGTCGACTCGACGAGTGGCTCGGAAGTGGCTCGGAGATGTATGGGCGAGTTGTCGCTTCGTCGGAAGTTCGTAGTTCACGACTCCCACGTCTGACATAATCACCTACGATATATGACGATGCCTTTGACGAGACTCTGAACGGAAGAGACTACACGGTGCCTTGCGTTCTTGGTGCATGAATGCATTCTCCAACTCATCTGTAGAGCAGATATATAATGTCAGACTACGTCTATGGTAGCTGGGTTAATATCGGAGTGGGCGTGAGCGTTACATATGATTGCCGTTTCGCACACCCCAAAAAGGTATTTTCGTAGAGTTTCGAAGACCATTCCGAGTCTTGAAGTGCTGGCCTGCCAGTAGCAGTCATTCAGCGCTCAGCCACAAACTTCACCTTGTGCTTTTTACAACTCTGACAAACTAAGTACTTAGTAATATTAATACTGGTGCGATTTAACAGCACGGCACGAGCCCAACAACCATTACTTAGTGGAACGACTTAACCGGACGGCGGAATCATTTTGGGTCTGGCCGGGTGGAACTCCAGCGTCCCAACTCTTAGTCATTTTCACAGCCCTGGACCAACTGTGACAGGGTACGATACGGCGCGAGGGTACGAGGGGAAACCGAAGGGCAGGCACAAAGGGCTACCAACGGCAGCTACAAACTTCCGACGAAGGGGATCAATCGGAGTCCCTGGCTATATGGCAAACCAGGGAAGCACTTACGGCCTGTTCCAGGCGACAGCGCGCGGATATCGAAGGGGAGGCATGATACTTAGGTGTCAATCGACTGGTACGGAAGTATTGAAGGAGCGGTGATATAGTAAACCAAGGTAAGCGAGCAGGTACGGAGGCACGAAGGTACGAGAAAGCCCACACGGAGAAGCTAGCTATACCGCAAACCAAGGTACGGCCTACACGGTCCAATGCATATAAAAGACCTCCTGCTGAGTCTCCAACTGCAGAACTCGAAGCTCTTCAATCCACACTCTCAATCATCTCAACTGCATTTTTTGTTTTACAATCTGAAAAAATGTCACACCTCTTCGTCAGAAACTTGGTTTTCCAGTGGTGAGTGTCTTTGCATCATCAACATGTGCTGTCTTCTTACCCGACCGTCTCGCAGCAATGATCTCGGCAAAGAGGTCACGCTTTTGCTCACTTTCGATGGCGATATGAAAGGCCTCTACCAAGACTTCTTCCCGATAGTTTGGAAGTAAGTGCCTTTGGTTTCGCCTGCAATTCTTTCAAACCTTTTCGTTCCAGAGTCAGCAAGTTCGGAAAAGCGGGTGGGTGCTCCCACATCTTTGCTGCCCAGTTGGCAACTTACATATCACCCCTCGTCCTAGGTCCGTACAGGATGCGCGCGACCTACACGAGCCAGTAAGTCTATGTCTGAGAAAGGACCCAGATCATGCTCATGAACGCCTCTTATTCACCGCATAGGCTTGCGTTCTCCATACCGCAAGTTGTGGCTGGGAACATCGTTGACGCTGAAACTAGTGTCAAGATCAACGTGAGCGACTCTTGTCTACTGTTCGATTCTTAGCACCAACGCGAGCCATCATGCAGGTCGGCGAACAAACCACCCTGACTGATGTCAATGATGTCTACCATTTCTCTGTAAGTCTGGCTTTTGCAGATCTTCATCTCGACAACTGACCCATAACTCGTGTAGCCCCCTACGGCGGGAACCCCCGACATCCTGCAGGCCGTTAATAAGACTGGGGCCGTCCAGGACATGGCAATCGGTTTGTGATTGCGATTTTCTCCTTTTCTTTCACCTCAGTATTTCACATCCAGGCTTTATGAACCCGGGAGACTTGATGCCCAAGCCGGCGCTCTTCTTCCACGAAGTCGGGTATGTGATCTTCTTTCTATCTCGCCTGCAGGGAACTCACGGTACAAAATACAGAGACGGCAGTAACGTGACTGCAAAGTTCACTCCGACCCTGCGCCTCTACATCACTTCGGACTATCAAGAGACTGAAATCTTGCGAGGTGCCATCGACACTCCCGCGATCTGGTCTCGGGATCTTTCCGCTCTTTCTGAGTCCACTATCTGGAACCTCAGCCGAGACCCAGCCACGGGACGTTATTCGATCACCAAGTCTTAATGAAGGAATGCGAAATTGGTGCGCTTAGATATCTGTTGTCTGAGTTCGGTATCTCAACGTTCTCCGTGTTTTCGTAGCATCTTCATTTTGAAGTACAAACAGCCTGTCTCAGTTGCAACATCGCGCGTGTAATAGTTCGCAACAGTTGTACGGTTTTGATAGATGCCTTTATCTTATAGTTTATATATTTGGAGTACTGCGTTTGCTTGAACAGTATTCAACAATCTTTCCCCTAACGGCGCGCGAGCAGCTCATGGATGCATCCCATGCTCCGCATAAATTGTCGCTGATGACACCACAAGACGTTCCTCCCGACTGTGAATATCTATTTGCATATTAACTCTGACTGAACATACGCATTTCTTCAATTAGATATCAAATCTTCGTTCCTCAATACCTCGTACACCAGCGCTGACGATCCTTCGCTCGTCAAATGCAATAGTACCATATTTACTTGCACTGATTGTTCCTGCGAAGCTGCCCTCGACAGGGCCAGCTACCTCAGTTCCATTTCCACCTTCAAGGTCCCACACCCAGATCGCCCCGTTTGTATTCAAACTGACACACCGACCGTCTGCAAGAGAGAGCGCAGAAACGGAACCCGAGGGTCCATGCAGAGTCCGGACAAACGTCAACCTCGGTGTATGGACTGACGAACTCGAGACCGGGGGCACATGGAGACGGTATAACTGTAGATGGCTCGACGAGTGGCTCGGAGGTGAGATGTATGGTGGCTGCAGATGTGGCTGCTGGGGTGCTGTACCAGCTTCTGAAGACCCTTGAGATATTGGAGAGACATCGGTCACGTCTCCAGGGGCTAGAACGACCCATTTCCCGTCCGTTTGTGTATCTGCAACTTGTTTCACTTTCCGGCCCCATTGATCACGCATAAGCTGCAGTTTCTGCTCGTCTATCCACCCTTGCGGGACGTCAAAAGCACGGGCAGACCTGGTGACGCTGACTTCAAAAGGCCCTAGTTGTGATGACTCGCTGGAGGATGGAACGAATGTTCGTTTACGAGGTATAACACCCGACGGAGATATGATGAGTTCTGTGGCACCCACGCTCCAGTGAGAGGGATAAACAGGGATAGCGTAGGCCATTATAAGCTTGTAAGATGCTGCCGAAGGTATGGCAGAGAGTACGAGCGATGTAGGCGGATGACTGGTGAAAGACGTGAGTGTTTGAGTGTGGGTGATACAATCATTGCTCAGGTCGTATATCATGAGCGTAAACGAGTGCGACAACGTGACGAGTAACGGATGATTGTAGGCTGCGTGAGTCACTGGAGAAGCACGGTGAGGGGACGAAGGGACGTAGGTTTGCTTTGGAGAGGTGGTTAAGGACATGGAAGAGTGATCGTGTTCGAATATACTGAATTCTCCAGTTGTCAGGAAAGCAGCCAGGCGTAGGACGTGGGAGGAAGATAAGGAAGGTGGAGATTGATCGAGTGCTACAGCAGATATGTTTGCTGTGGAAGTAGCTAGAGTAGACCTGCAAAGCAGAGTGCGCGATACGCCATTGTTGTCTCGTACTAGCAGTGAGGATCTACCGGACTCCGTCGACGATATGGTGAATCCGCCTGCCAATATAACGTGCTGACGAGGAAAGGCCAGTGGTGCTTCGGCCTGATGTGTCTCCTCGGCGTTAGTGAAGTTCTCGATAGCACAACGTCCTAGACGGGTATGGGATAGTGGAAACAGAAGAATATTGATTATAACACATACCGTTCTTCCAGTTTGAGCTGATACGATACATCCACTTCCAGTCCAGAGCGTCATCAGCTGACGACGTGGATACGGAAGCTCTCGAAGGAAGGGGTTTAACTGATCTTCCATCTGTTCGACCGTAAAACCCTTTGCCTCCCCTCAGCCGTGTTTTGCCATACTCTCTGACAAACAAGGCTTTCCAGAGCTACAAGTACAACCGGAGCAGCGGGCGATCCGAGTGTGTTCAACATTCATTCTCTTGCTGTCCAATTGAATCAAATATATACCTGGTTGTCGCTCGAAAGCCTGGCACAATTGCTGTTCGTCGCTTGCATGGCACAGAGATCTCGAGAGTTCAGGAACGAGAAGATAAACAGAATGAGTTCATCATAGAGCGCATTGTCAAATGTTGCGATAAGACGATGCTCCTGCGACCATAGCCGAGTATTATGCAGCCTCTTCGCGGGCGGCAGAGGCACTGGGGATAGCCTGTGCTTGGACATGGCAGAACGGGAGAGAAATATGGGAGAGGCATATGTATCACCAATCATTACAGCGGCCCGCAATTGATCGGGAGGGGCCGACTTTCCGAGAAACTTCCATATTTGGCATGTCTCCCGTTACTGGCTCATTGTATACTCCGAACTGCTTAACCCAAGGTTAACCAAAACAACTAATGGCCCCCTCACGAGGTCCTCAAGCACTCGCTCGAACGCTGCATAAAACGCTCTCGAACCACCGAGGACCCGTCCATGTCGTTCGATACGCAAAAGGAAGCGCAAAATACGTCCTAAGTGGAGGACAGGATCGCACCATACGCCTCTGGAATCCAGACCTTGGTACCGAGATCAAGGTGTTTGAGGCCCATGGGTACGAGGTCCTGTCTATATCTGTGTCAGTCATATTCGCTGTTTCTTGGCCTCTCTTGAAGTTGACGAATAAGATCGCGTGCAGGAGTCATGACAATACAAAGTTTGCGTCTTCTGGAGGGGACCGCTCTGTCTTTCTGTGGGATGTGACGGCGGGTGTGACGACACGTAGGTTGTCAGGACATATGGGTAAGGTAAATGCTGTGGAACTTAATGCAGATGCGACTGTGTTGGCGAGTGGTGAGATGATACCCTTCACTGGATGTGTGAATAGCAGAGTTCACCATACTTTATCATAGGCTCGTATGATTCCACGGTAAGATTATGGGATTTGCGGTAAGCATGGAACCGCTTGGGCGTAGGGATGACATCAAACTGTTCTCGGCAGGGCACCAGCGCGTGCGCCGATCCAGGTACTCGAAGAAGCTCGCGACGCCGTACAGGCCTTACACGTGGATGCAACCACGATAATTGCAGGCTCTGTAGACGGATATGTCAGAACGTATGATCTCCGTAAGGGCGAACTGCGTTCAGACTTTATAGGGCGTAAGTAATGCGGATATTGATTGCACACAGGGTGTTAATCCTCGTGTCTCGCAGAGCCTGTCACCTCGGCCGTTCCCTCTGCTGATGGAACCACGCTTCTCGTATCCACACTTGATTCGCATGTCAGGCTGTTCGATACGACCAGCGGGAAGCTTCTGAATGCCTTCACTGGCCACAATCACACATCGTATCGCTGCCGAGCATGCTTCGGACATGAAGAAGCAACAGTTGTCTGTGGAGATGAAGACGGTACTGTTTGGGCTTGGGACTTGGTTGATGTGAGCATTTCAAAGTTCACGTATATCATTACCGTGCTTACATTCATTTTAGGCTACAGTCTTGCAACCCAACCCTCCGCCAAAAGTTCATGATAAGGTGATCACTTGGACAGAACATCACCCGGTAGATGCTGGGGAGATGATTACCGGTAGCGCAGATGGCACTGTGAAGGTCTGGCGACACTCGAGCTAGGCTTTCTTTATTACAACTGCAATATGACCATCCTTTTGAGTGTAGGGTATATATCGTGAAACGCAGTATGTCATTAGTGGAACAAAGTGCTAATAGATGTATCCATTCTGTAAGAAGAAAAATAATATTACAAAGGTCATCATCAGTGTGACGATCCTTCTACAACAGCCTTCAGTCGCTGTCTCAGCATATTCCTTGTGCTGCCTGCATCCTTCCCGTCCTTCCCATCTTTCGGCGGCTCTGGTGCTGTGATTGCACTTTGAGATTCTAGATCCGAGAACGAGCTCAACGTCGGCGAGATGCCACTTATAGACGGGGTACCAGCACTGCCAAATATGGAGCTCGCGGCGGTCCCATATCCGCCGAGTTCCGAAGAGTCGCGCAAAACGCCCAACTCGCCTGGACCCACAAGTTCAATGATCTCAGTGAGAACAGCAATACGGGTCCATCGCCGAAAGCGCGTGTACTTTCCCATTCCGCCTTTCGAGCTCGCACCTTCCCATTTGTTGTCACCGTACAGCCAACCTTCGGGATCTGTGACGACCTCATCTTCAGCGGCGGGGTCGAGGAACGGGTCGCTGGAATGTTGTTCGCCAATTCGTTCGGGCGACTCTGCAGGACCACTTGAGCTTGAGATCACATTGTCTCGACCACGTGCGGCGCGTAGCATCCGTGCTGCAGTCCCGGTACTTTCATCAGGTCCGTCTTTATCCTTTGGAGGTGTCTTCTCCACACGCCAGACACCCTCCTGGCCTTCTTTACGCACGACAACGCGCCATTCGGGCTCTTCCCATGTCCACCGTGCTACACGTTTCGCACGACCATTCTTTCCGACAGCTACGTATGCTGTTGTAGAGGCAGGAAGAGGGAAGGCTGAGGGTGGCGGTAATGGAGTGAGAGATGAGCTGCACCATGATGGGCGCTCATTAGGAAGTAGGGCGGCTGTCCAATCAAGAGCCATCCACCACCGCTGATTCTCGTAGACTGTAAACAAGAAGCGGAGAGGCGGGGAAGGCTTGGGGGTGTCATCCGCTAATACGGATGCCGGGCGTATCTTAGTAGAAGCTTCCAAAGGAGAGGGCGATGCGGGTGGTGGAAGCGGCACCCCCGAGACAAATGAGTATAACCGGTAAAATGCCCATCGGACATGTGCGCTGCGCGTAATGGATGCTCGAACATGTCTGGCCCAATGCGCCCTGTGGATCATGAACAGGGTGCCGCATATCGCGATGCACACACGGAGACCAACAAAGGATGTGAGGATGAGGTATGGTAGATAGGTGAACGCGAGTACTCGGAGAACGAGAAGGGAGGGAGGGAGGGGAGACGCAATGACAGGTGATACAGGAAGCAGGGCGTGAATGGTCGTTAAATCAGATACGAGGGCGTGAAGCGCGCTGTCGGTTACCGGTGGTGAGATTGCCGAAGAGGTGCCAGTGGATGATGTCCACCGTCTCACAGTGAACACGAATGCAACTGCAAGTGGTAAGAAGAATCTGGTGAATGGCAGGTATTTTAATCAGCTAGAAGGTGTAGATATTGGAACAGGCATACCTCAACGTCGGCTCAGAGAGCAGGCAGAACGCCCACCATACGGCCAGAGCAAGCCAGCTTTCCTCCCATGAAGACTCCCAGCTGATAATCTGTGCCAAGTGTCTTATGGCCTGGATATATGGGGCTAGGGCAACTAGCTCTGAAGCGAGGGGTGTCGGAACGGTGGTCACAAACTCAATGAGAGTTGGAGGAGGTGACTGCACGACGGGGCTCGTGGTAGTCCCTGAGCTCACAGATGCCGCCATGGGCATCTGTAGTATCTTGGGCTTTAGTTTGAAGTCCTTGGGCTTGGGCGACATCAATTAATAGGCGAATACTTCACACGACAGCCGCGACCACTGGCGCAATAATAGTGCTTTCGGTGAGAAAGCACGTTTACTTATATCCTGTTTATACTTGTCAGTCAGAAGACTTGTCGGACGGATATTAGCAACATACGAAGAACCGCAGAGTTCACAGCTGCACAGACGCTCAAGGGAATCAGGTGGAAACGGAACCCGGCGTTCGGCTTGCAAGCAGCCAGCAGGTCATGCGACCTTGGCATGCGTATTGACGTGCAGAAGTGCATCTAAAGTGGATGGAATTACATAAGTTTTGCACAAAATAACTAAAACGCAAATAGTGACAAATAGCCCTCCCAAATGCAATCGACGACGACGAAGCATGTTCGAACTTTACTGTTTCTTTCTGTGGTAGCGCGACTTGCAGTCTGGACGTTAGTCTCGATCTCTGCATACTTGCTTCCACTGTTCGATGCATCACCAGACATTGGGACATCCCGTTCTTGGGACTCGGTTCTCCTTCGTTGGGACGCGTTTCACTTCGCACACATTGCAAAAGAAGGATACGTGTATGAATACGAGTGGGCTTTCTTCAATGGACTGCCACTATTGATGCGCGTTTCGGCCCACCTACAGGCCCTGGCAGGTTTTGGTTCGAACGATTGGGCGACGCTTCTTCGAGGTGGGGCATGTATGGCCGTACTTTGCGACTCGACACAAGTACTCTATCACCTATCATTGCATCATCTCCACTCACCTTCCCTGGCGTTTTTGTCCACCGCGCTCTCCGTCTTCTCGAGTAGTCCTGCTGCGCTTAGATTGGCGTCCTACAACGAACCGTTCTTCACATATTTCTCGTATCGGGGCATGCTGGCGTGTGCTCGTTCTCAGTGGATCGCAGCATCTATATGCTTTGCTTTAGCAAGCATGTTCAGGTCCAATGGAATATTTCTGTCCGGATTCATACTCTGGGGCATGCTGATCACGCCCTTTTTGACAGGGCGAAAGGATCTGGTAAGCTTATGCATCCCGCGTTATGACATATGAACTAATGTGATTCTGCCAGCTTACTCATACGCGTCTGCTTAAATGCGTTTTATTGACTGCGTTGCCGCTGATTCCCTTTATCCATCACAATATTATCGCATATCTTGTATTCTGCACGCCATCAACAACGCGTATCCCAGATTGGTGCGCAACCAGTATGATTCCTTCGATATACTCCCACGTGCAGTCCAAATACTGGAACGTTGGCTTCTTGCGATATTGGACAGTCTCCAACATACCAAACTTTATTTTCGCGCTTCCTGCCGTGCTTCATATTTTCGTGTTCTGCTGGTTTTATCTCTCGAATTTGCCTGCAATTATTCCCCACATCATACCTCAGATCCGGTCAAAAACCAACAACGTCCCCCCTCCTCAGCTGGACTCTTCATTCCTCTCTCCATCCCTCCTGCCCCACGTGCTCCACGCCTTGGCGCTCACGTCGATCTTGACGTTCAACGCTCATGTTCAGATATCACTCAGGCTTCTCCCGTCTCTTCCAATCACGTACTGGGCTGCTGCTCGCCTCATGCTCGACCTTCCAAAGTGGGGAAAAGCATGGGTCACATGGAGTGTTCTGTGGGGCGCGTTGAGCTGTGTGCTCTGGGCAGTTTTTCTCCCGCCTGCTTAAATCCGATAGTACGACGAAATTCCTAAGTACTTGGGGTGCGTAGTACAATAGATGCCTATTTGCCACCGAGAGTCGAGACGGTAATTTGCCCCAACACAGCAGCATGCTTTGTCGTTGGTTGTCGCTACATACTTGACGTCTGACATCAACTCCAGATCATTTAGCGTGCTGTCAAAGCAGCAACAACGGCGAGGACAAAGGAGAAACGCATTGTTTGTGGGGATGTGATATGGGATCAAATAAATCCGAAAGGGAAGTAGGAAGATAGCTTGATTTTATGTGCTGAGTATTGTTATTCATGGCGATGTAGGCAGAACTTCGAACAGATGATATCTGCAATGCCAGCAGATTGCCACCTAAGATTTTGAAGCAAGGCCTAGATCAATGCCAGCTCGAATCCGCTGTCGGAAGAACTCATCGTAGCTTTTTAAATTCACGTTATCTCTATGACATCCGGATTTTTCAGCCAAGTACAACTCACGCGTCGATCGACTTTCAGCTCAACATCACAAAAACTGCTCAACTCAACCCGATATAGCTTGTTGGGCGCATATCACTGTCGGGTTGTGTACTCCCTAACATCTCGTATCGCGGCTCTCAGAGTACGTTGTCACGATATGATCACCATGTAGTACACATCTGCTTATACGTCGATCTAAACCGACAATGCCTTTACAATCAATCAGGTCGAAGACGAGGAATGGATCACAACGGAACTGAATGTGCCCATTCCTTCCTGTGTGAAATCATTGATCAAAATTTAACACTCCTATCAGTTTCAAGCTTCGCCTTCGGGTGCTGCCACGCCATAAAACTCCCGTCGATGTTTTTGGAGACTTCTTTGCTTATCTCTTCCGCTGCACGGAGAGTTTATCATAGACGCGCATGTCATCGGCCAGACCTTGTTGCACCACGTCGAAACCAGCATCAAATTCGTCTTGAATCACCCCAACGGCTGGGATGGCGCTCAGCAGACGAAGATGCGACGCGCCGCCGCACACTGGTTTAATTCTCCATACATACGAAGATCGTGCGCGGGTCCGTTTCGCCACAGAAGGAGAAGCTAGTCTCCACGCGTGTGTCCAGAGCAGTCTCGCGGCCGATGTTCTTTCCGTGTGTATTCCGACATATCAGGACGTATCACACACATGAACTTCTTATACATCGTAAGATAATATGTCAGGTAAATGCAACTATGGAATATAGTATGTGCTGGAGATGGTATACGCAATGTAAATGATACACGCGAGACCTAAGCCAGCATATAATACAACCTCCAGAAAAACCGGAACCTCTTCACCCTTGTTTCATCATTCGCTTCAACCAAGGGTTCATCAGCATACTCGTCGCTATACAAATTGATCTCTTGAATATCCACAATGTCGAACGTCCACCTGTGATGGGGTTTCGGAGCTCCAGCGTCATGGGGTATCAGAGAGGTCGTCTCATTAGGGGGATCCGGGGAGGCGTTGCCTGGAGCTGGTATAGAGTCTACGAAAGTGTTCTTAACAATGACCCAGGAAAGGCACATGATAACCATGATGGGTATCTCGATGTAGTAGGAGACAAAATCTACTGGTGAGAATGTGGGGAATACGGAGGACCATCCTTGGACTGTTCAACTCGTCAGTATGCAAAGGCAGTGATATAATAAACAAAGCACGCACTCAAAATGAGGGCGATCACTGTGATAATCTGGGAAGTCGCATGGGTTAGGGGAGAAGTAGCTAGCAAAATTAATACACATACAACAAAATAAGGACCCCATGGCCAGGTCCAGGATGCTCGAAACTTCATTTCGTCTACAGATCGACCCTGTCTGATCCAGGCTTTCCTGAATCTCCAACTGGCCAATCCGATTGATAACCAGGCAATCTGGAATTACATTAGCCCGAAATCACGGCTCATTGTATATATCGCAAACCTGGTTTGAAACCCCAACAATGGTTTGCAGCCATCCCCACAGCCGGCCGCTGCCGATATAACTGCTGCCTAAACAGAGTACGCTAACGCTACTTGTTGCAAGCAGTGCGAACAGGGGAACGCCTCCTTGAGTGGTTCGAGAAAATATACGCGGTGCGTGCGGGTTGGGATTAACAACAGATAGGCCATACAGAACTCTTGTGCCCGCAAAAAGGGCGTGGTTACCGGCAGATAATACAGAGGTAAGGATGACAGTGTTCATAAATGATGCAGCTACAGCTATTTGAAACGACATTAGAAAGGAAGAAGGGCGAGGAAGATAAACTCACTTGAACCAGCTTGAGTAAATACAATCGTAAAAGGGGATGTAGTGGTCGTTTTATTCGATAAATTTGGGTAATCCCATGGCACTAATAAAAACAGTCAGGTGTGTGGCAATATTGAGGAAAAGCAGCCCCACCATTCAGGCCAATAAGCAGGATGCTTATAACATAAAACAACAGAATCCTAATCATCATCGCTCGCACATCAATAGCGTATAGAAATGGGAATATTTCGCTTGCCTCCAGAACACAAACTTAACAACCTTTGGCATGTTTCGCGAGGGGTTCTCCGTCTCTCCTGCGGTGATACCTAGACTTTCTGTTCCACCGTCTGCAGACGGATAAGGTGATCAGAAGCTCATTTACAATATGACTCACATGCGAAACTAGCTGTCACGAAAACCTTGGCGAAACCACCAAAGCCACCAACAAATGGAGCGCCAGGAATATGCCAGTTGTGGGTTCCGATGTAAGTATGCGACTGGTTAACGCCGACATTGACCAGTATGCCAACGATGATGAAAACCACAATAGTGGCAACCTTCAGGAATGAAAGCCAATATTCTGCGGCACAGCGTTAGTCACATTTTTGAAAGAGGAGCAGGCCTAAGTCTAACCCAATTCTCCATAAGCCTTGACATGGAAGGAATTGATCGATACAAGAAACACCCAAAAGAGAAGGCTGACTACCCAAGGATTGGATGTTGTCCAGTATTGTAACACCAGCTGCGCAGCAGTAAGATCAGAGGCGACAGACACTGCATCATTGAACCAATAGTTCCATGACAGCGCGAAACCATAGGATGGCGAGAAAAAGCGCGTCGCATAGGCGTTAAAGGACCCTTGGAAATGGTAAGCGCAGTGCAGAAATATGAAAAAGAAGTCACTTACCGGCCACTGGGTACTGTGTAGCCATCTCTCCCAGTAGCAACAGCGTGACATATACAATGAATCCCACTATGCCATAGCAAATCAACATGCTCGCAGGACCACCTTGGGCAAGAGATCTTCCAGTTCCTAGGAAGAGTCCAGTTCCAATCGTACCAGCTATTGCGATCATTTGTACTTGGCGGGCAGATAGGCCACGATGTAGACCCCCGCGCACCGGCTGAGTGGAATGGCTCTTCCGCATCATTGATATTGACATGCTGCTCGTGTCCAGAATGGTGCCTGAGACTCTTCGAGGACTTGGTCCGCGAGGAAGAGCGAGAGGCTGAATGACTAGTATTCATAGACTGTCCAGGACGCTCAATGCTTCAGACGATGGAGCGGAAGGTGCAGTCGGAACTCAGACGTCACCTTCTGGTGTGTAATCAGGTCACGTGAATCATAAACATTGGATTTTTGTGTTGGACCCTGTTGGACCTACATATGCTTGTACGACGCGTTACGGCTGATAGTTCAACAAGTTCGAAACTGCTCCCCTTACCCTGGGCCAATATCGTCCAGCGTTTTTAAGGTAATACCAGCACGTTTTTTAAGAGTAACGTGGTTGATGCTTACAACCTCATGTACAACCATGCATATGCAGCGTATCTTGTTCCGATGGGGGATCAATCATCTGAACGCCCGGTATTACCAGACCCAACGACACCCAAGCCTTCATTACCGCCAGGTATGGTGCTTGGTCCGGATGGAAAACCCTGCAAAATATGTACTGCGTTTCGTAATTGGAGGCCCACCGCTTCAGGCACTGCTAGTTCGAGCAAGAAGTCCACTGCAGCAATGATGGCTGCTTTCGCATCCGGAACAGGCTTCCAACCCCCCAATTCCAAGCCAGAAAATGCAACACTGCCTCCACACTGCCCGCCAGATGTCGAAGCCCTTGGACGTGCGACGTGGTCATTTTTGCATGCGGCGGCGGCATACTACCCGGCACGGCCCACTCCCCACCAACGTGCAAATATGCTCAATCTCATTCACGCGATGCCCGTCCTGTATCCATGCACTCACTGCGCGGCAGACTTTGGCGATAAAATAAAGGAACATCCCCCAGACGTGAGCAATCGGGAGAGGTTGAGCAGGTGGTTCTGTGAGCGACATAACGAGGTGAACGGGAAGCTGGGCAAAGAAATGTTTGATTGTGCAAAGGTTGATGAGAGGTGGAAGGACGGTCCACCTGACGGCAGCTGCGACTAAGCTCCAGCTGCAGCGTGTTCGCGGAGGTGGGTTTACAGATTAATCACTCATCAGGAAACACGTAAAGAAGTCTGGACTCCCAATAATACCACTCGTGGAAAAAAGAAATTCGATTGTTCCCTTGAAAGATCACTACTCGACAAGGCGGCTAGGCAGTACTCATGTGTTTCAAAGCCGTTACACAGCCGCACCGACATAAATGGTATATCATGCACGCCGTGGGCGATGGGGAACTTGATCTTATGAACACGCGTAGACCTCACGCACTGCATGAGGAAGCAACGTGTGGATGCGGGTTGTTGAGTGTTCGTTTAACCTTCAAATAAACCCGATCTTTACTGGCTGCCCTCCGTCTTACAAGATTTGAGAGCGTTGGTATGTCGCATTCGTTACTGATTTTTTCAACATTATTTGACTGTCGCCAGCTTAGTTCAGCAACTTGAGCCAAGTACAAACGTTGGTATTGCCAAATCGAAAACAAGAGGGCCGTCCATATATTGGTGCGTGTCTTAAGCATAGCACGCCATCTTGAGTGCTCATGATATAATAGATGCACCATGTTTAACGTACTTGTCGTTGGCCAAACTGGATGTGGAAAAAGCTCGCTCGTGAACATGATCGCTGGACAAAGCCTGGCACCTACGTCTCCAGGAGACGACCTCCAACACTGCACTAAACACTGGGCTGAGTATCCAATTTCAGTCGATGGTCATCCTTTCCAGGTCTTCGATACCATCGGTTTTCTCGAACCTGAGCTGGATTTAGGCGTGTACGCGGAGGCCATCGCTGATACATATGGCGCGATCCATGCCTTGAGCACAAGAGGTGGCATTGATCTAGTCCTTTATTGCGTACGCGACGACGAGATCCAGAAGATGAAGGGCAACTACAGGTTGCTCCATGAGGTGTTTTGTGACGAAGAAGTTCCAGTTGCTCTTGTCGTTACAAACCGTGGCGGCCAGATAAGCAACAATACAGAAGGCTACAAGTCAATTTTTGATACACACAAGATCGCTTGCGTCGACTACATCTGCGCCAACATAGCTATCACTCCTGGGCCTGATAGTCCAGCTGTGGACGCCAAATCACAGGAGGCGATCAGGAAACTGCTAGTGAAATGTTGCGACGCAGCACCGAATTCTAGATCCACAGTGCAACAGCTGTGGCGGCGAGCCAAAAAAATCGTCGGGACAAACCAATCTCTCAAACGAAATCAACTACCTACGGTCCTCACACGGCGTTGCAAGATGAAGCAGGAGGTGGCGGAGCAATTGGTTGCAGCCCTAAACCTCGAGTCGCCGTCAAGTCGGCTTTATCGAGCACCCTATGCACGCGGTAAATGTTCGTTGTCGGTGTCCTACAGTGTCTCATTGACTAATTGGTGATCGCAGCTGTAACTCGCTTGCCGTTGTCGAAGCACAGCACTCGAGAAGAACAAGTACCAGATGCCAGGTTGAGGTAAGCATCAGTCGTCTGACGACCCTGTTGAACCCAAGCTTGAGCGTCTTTTGTTCAGCTCTAGATCTCAATTACATTCTGTTGTGGATAACACCTCTCTGCCTTCTCACCCAGACAACTGATGCCGTTGCCGACCGTCGATCAGCCCTAGTGGTATCAAGAACATATATATATATATGTACTAAAAGGATGTTGATCGTTAATGACACTTCAGCCACACCATATGCTTCCCTCTTACATGCTAGTAGAACAGTGCAATAACACGCAACTCCGGTATCAATGGTTTGGCTTCGTCGGCGTGGCACCCTGACTGGATTACGAGTGTGTTGGTGACAGAGGGTATTACTGAGATCGTAGACATCATTGCTCTCCGATCCAACTTAAACGTTTAAGCCCTCAACGCGGCATGGTTCCAGAGCAATGATCAATCCACCATTTACATTGCGTGGATGAACTATTAAATTATTGCACACACTGTAGGTAGTTGCTGCCCCACCAGGATATGGGATTTAAATAATACAAGATGCTGTAGACATTGGACTATCACTTTGGAAGATCCCAGGGCTGTGCATGATCAACACAAGATGGGGTTTGAAACACCATAGGTCGAGAAAAACCCACTACTGAGACAACCGGCTCGCCTGTACCAACATCCTGCAAGTCGGACATTGCTCGTAGATTGAACAGGATACGTGAGGCGAGAACACTATGCACGACTAACTGTGGGCTTCTCTGACTCAGCTTTAGACACGGGTAAGCAACAGCACGATTTACCCAGCAAGAAGTGCGGTGTAGGATGACTGGTCAAGTGATCAGAAGCTTATATTGCGAATTGAAACAACCCGCTCACAGGTAGTACGGCAATGGTGACGCAATTAGCCATCGAGACCACTGCAAAAAGTAAGACCGCGTGCCTGAAAAGAGCCTTTAAACCTCACAAATAATACATAACATGTAAATTATGCCATCCTGACATAGAGTAATCAGCAGCAAACTATCTTTCAGTTGGTAGGATTTGAAGCGTTTGAACAGCGTCAGGGACATTAGCGCTGGCAGAGGTTAGAGGTCGCTAAGCAGAATCTGATTGCACCGTTACGTACCAAGCTCCCCGAACATCAACAAACCATAAATAATGCTAGCGTTACGTCGTTCCTCAAATACACCGCGCGTCGAATCTGAAAAATGGAGTGAGCGGAAAAAATTCCGTAAAATAATGCAGACCTCCGGATTTAATTGCATCGATATATGAGATTATCAGCACCGCCACTGAGATGGCCTGAAAAAAATGGTTAACTTCTTGAGTTACAAGCAAATGGCTGAGGAAGGACTATGGTCACCATGGCATAAACCAATACCGCAGCCAAGAACCTCCTTTCACACCCTGAGATCACGTAGACCCTTGCCACGAGCAGGACTGTTTTTTTAGTAAAAAAAGTCATTGGAGCGACTTGACTTGGAGTTGATACTCACCTCCAGCAGCAGCGATACACAACCAACGGATGACTAGAAAAAGATTGAGCATTTGAGTTTGAATGATGCATTTGTATACACAACCATCATATACAGCAGTGAACTTCCCATGATTGGACTGAAATATCGTCATGAGTACTTTTAATGTTGTGTCGCAAAGAGCTTACAATTCCTCCATGTGTGGACTCGACCAAGTCTATCCAGGGGACCCCAGTAAAGAGTAAAGGGCAAGAGTAGACAAAATGCTGTGAGTGCTCACAATATACGGTCATAGCAAGGCCTGCGAATGGCAAATAACGAGAAACGATAAAGGCTATCCTCGTGATGCCCCACTTTCTTCCCCATGTCAAACGAACCTGGCATCTTGTCAGTTTTACATAGGGCCGTTGAAACAACTCACCTCCGAGTCGAAGGTGATACTGAAGTCAAAAAGCTAGAAAGATCAAATTAACTATGATCGCTTTCTAATTGTTCCTCCTTACTAAAGCTGCTATGGATGCAACTGTCACGGGGATCCGGTCAGTTATATAAAACAAAAAAGAGACAAGTATAGACGTCTACCCGCAGTATACTGGATTCAAATGAGCAAATAAGGCGATTCAGACGGGGAATGAGAAGTACGCACTGCTGAAGTTTGAAGACCAATTGAATCGGAAAAATAGTCAGCCATATTATCGAGTTCAACTTCAGGCTGAGGTTAGCCGCAGGTAGAAGGAAGACAGTCGGTCCTTCTTTCCATCAAGCGGATTAGTATTCGGCTTCCCTTTCCAGTCGCTTCAAGTGGTAACTGTCCCCACAGCCGTTAACCGTCATCAGAGCATAGGATTTAATTATAATCACGCCAAGCTAGGTACTACATCTGAGAGAGCCTATCAGTGTTTAGACCCGTCGAAAAACGATCGTTGAACGATCCCTGTTTGGTATAGTCTCGGACTTCTAGTCCTCTCCACCAATGAGAGCGCTCGCTTAAGCTAAAAAAAGCTTCAAATTGTCAACGTAAAGAGAGGCCTCTCTCAGATGAAGTTCATCTGCAAAACCACTAAAATGAATGCTTACGACTTCAGTAGCGCACTCATACGATTGGTGGAGATGCTGAACATATAACCAAAAATGTGTGCTTACGAACGCAAACTTGAACTAAACCAAAAATAATATACACACGAGCGTTTTGTGAGTGCTTTCGAACAAAGTCGCATTTGCTGATGGCCTGACTTGGGGCTGATAGCACGGCGATCGCCGACCCTGGCGGGACAAACCGAGTGACCTTACTTGACACATTAGGCTTATTTATATCTTGCTCATGCTATTGAAGCCTCAGCCGTGTGTTTTGTAATTCCAGTTCTGCTGATGCACTATGAATGACCAGTTGAATGTATCCGATTTTTCATTGTGCTACAAGTACTAATACATCAATTCTACAGCTACTGGTGAAAGAGTATCGGTGTCCGCAAGTTAGAGTCAATTGTAATAACACTCAGATTTGTTTGTTAAGCATGCCTGACCTCCGACCGTTCCCGAACCATCTGAACCCCGGCGAGTCAAAAGGGCTTCTGGACCTCTTCGGCCACCTGCAGTTTACCCCCATTCAAAGCTTGTTTGATTGCTTTGTCATAGCGATTATTTGCTGACGCAGTCAAGTTATAGCGGGCTTGGAAGACAGAACACGTTCGACGCACCATACGCAACCGATACATCCCATAACATAACGCCTCCAAAGGAAGAGTACTTGGACCGAGTCTCGTGAATTATTGAAGTGATAGCCTTGGAATCGACATAGCCAGATCCCGCAGCGTGCGATGATGCGGGCGCGCCGAGATAAACCTTAACGTGAGGATTATGTGAGACCTTTTTTGCCCAGTTGTCCCTAAGAAGGGTTAGAAAGTATGACTCGAACCACCCACGTCGGTACGTACCAGGCGGCAAAGTTCCAGGCCTGTGCACAATGACGCTATTGAGGAATAGTACAGGACAAAAGGCATCGTAACTTACTGGATTCTTATAATGCTGCAGACCGCAATCATTGTTGTCTGCAAGTGATTATTAACAAAAAAATAGCGGGGCCATCAAGACAACGACGGACAGAACTGGACACATACTGCATCGAACTTCACTGCATTGAGTGTTTTACCGATGTAAGCGTCTGGGTAAGGACACTGGGGCGCTGGAATAGATTTCGCATATCAAAACCAAACGAGTGTCGACTGAAGGCGTTTCATCTTACCAGCAGTGATATAATACCTGCGCAAGCGGTATAAATGAATGCTCACAGCGGAAGAGAAACAAACTTCACTTTTTCTTGCCCTTATCCATAAGTTTCCGGAGTGCAGTCAAGAAGGAAACATAGCCCGTCTGCGAACCACCCTCGATGTCCATGTCAATTCTACCCGATATTCAGAACAAGTCTGAAGAGCAAAAAAAACTAACTGACCCATCGAGAATTGCAGATCCAAAGGGACGCGTCTTGCTCTTTCCACCCAGAAAGAGATTCCATATTGTCTCAGCATAAGCAGCGGCCTGAGAGTCGTTGTGAAAGTTGATCTTTCCAGTTGCGCCGCCAAGTGATATGGTGATCGCTTTTCCTGCCGACTGACACGCATGGATGTCTGATGCAAGAGCCGCGCAATTCTGCAAGTGAGTCCCTGGGAAATAGCCGCCGGTGCAAGACTGCACATGAAAAAGTCAACTCAGCGCGATCCTGAATGGAGGTCACGAATCACTCACATTCGCCAAGTCGATTGATGGGAGATTGCCTTGCGCATAAGTATCAACAAGGAAGGCTATCGGAAAGGTGTTAATGACATTGTCCTGAGAGACTCGAGGTCAGGCGGCGACTAAGAGCTTCGGAGAAAAGGAAATTGACTTTGCAGTAGTATGAAAGACTCTTCTGCCAGTGAGCAGTATCATTATGATTGGAGGCTCCATATGCATTCTGACCCCAGTATCTGTCGCAAATGGTCTGCTTCTGACCTCGCAGATAACACAAATATGGCACTTACACGGCCAGCTAATGGGGAGAGGATCAGCAGTTGATCAAGGAAAACACATGCAGCCTCACATTCTTGTTGGATGACATATTGAATGGAGCTGTTTCACTGTCCATAATGCGAAGTAGAGGAAGTAGAGATGATAGCGCGTAGCGTGATAAATCCGCAAGATACATATTTGTACGGTGCGAATAGACAGGATCCAAAATGTTGATGGTGAGCCGCCATTATGCAGTCCGGGTTTTATGCTGGCCTCAAGGATCATTCAGCTCAGAAGGGAACAAACTTTCTCCACGGAACATACCAGTTTCTCTCTACCAGAATGGTTAGATTCCCCCCAAACTGGCCTAGCTCTAAGGCATGCGGGTCGCAATATTGGCCGAACCCAGGAATAAAGGTGCTGACACAGGGGAGAAACTGACATTTCACCACCTTTTGCCGTCAGTGAAATTACATTCGAAAGGTAATTTAGAGCGCTCTGGAACGCTCTAGGTTATCTCTGGAATGCTCTGACCAGGTCTAGGTCTGCTTTTGATTGAAATTTTGCAAGAGGCAAAATGTTGAAACCCCTGATGTATGAGTGAAAGCCGGTTCGATATGAAAATCGACTGTTGAAGTATGCTTGTGACTGCGGCTGCGGTTACTAATTAGGGTTAGTAGGTTACGTTCAACCGGCCGAAACCTTACTTGCGATGCATGTTTGCGTCGTTCTCTTCAACACATCTCTCCACCAATGACTTTGATGCGTTACACTTCCACCTGCACGAGAGCTCGCGACGTCAAAGAGCCTTGGGATTGGAATCGATATTCAGTGACATCATACATGGTTGGCATAGAAACCTTGCAAGCAAGAAGGGCGCAACTCAAGAATGGAGCGACATTGCGCTCAGCGACGACGAAGCGAAGGTCGCTTCAAGTCCGACCAACGAATCAATATGCTTCCGGAGATCCATTTAGATGTTCTGGTCGAAGTAAGCTCCAAGCAACGAGGTAAGGCACAACATTTGCTAGGCACCTTAGGGGCTGGGGTGGAGACCGTGCTGTGGAAGAAGTGGGTGGGCGATAAGCATATAAACCACCCCGGTTCTCGGATCATTCAAAGTGTTTGCACAACTGGTTGTCTCAGTATACAACTCTACCTCCTCTTGCATCGATCGACATCTGCTAATTACTGAGCTACAATGGCAAACCTAAACAGGGAAATCAGGATTGCGTACGTACCTCCCACGTCTTGACGTTAACGCAAATTAACACACCTTCTAGCATCATGGGTGCAACCGGCAGTGGTAAATCCACGGTATGCGCGGTATCTTTGCCCTGAACCACTACGTTGATTATTCTCGCTGGACACAGCGTATCAATAAGGCTAGCAGGTCGGACCTAGAATCTGTGGATGATGGCCTGGAGAGTTGCGCCAGCAAGATGCGAACTACACGGTCGTTTGTCATCGGCGAAAGTGTCGTGCGTATATACTATCACCTGATTCGGAATGCACAATCGATGGGTAATGCACAATGCACTCCAGAGCTCACCACTCTGCATATATTTCATTCGGAACAGATGAAGGACAAGTATTAGCATATGTTCAATAAGACTACCAAATCAAATATTTAAAATCGGCGCTGTGAGGCCTTCCCGAGATGAAACATTGTGCGAGTGTACCCAAAATGAGTGATTTTTGGACACTAAATCCAAGATCCACCCAGATCCCATTAACCTATCAACATAAGAACTTCAATATATGTGAAATACACCATTCTGAATCTACTCCAGGTGTTTATATGTCAATGGAACACCACCACAGTGTGCTATTCACGATTCATGAGCAAAGCGTGACAGTCAGGCTAGATTGGGAAATCACACTCTCGGCTTGGTTGAGTCCCCGCTTTGTTTGCATTCGCCAACACTGGACTTTCATTCACTTTGCGCGCTGTCGGACTTTGGATATCATTGTGTATTTGCCGAGGTGCCGCGCGTGACATGGTGTGACGAAATTGTGCATTTCTATTGTGTTTTCGACATCTCAACTTCCAGTGCTGCCGCTGCAACAAGCTCGCAATAAAATAAAATAATTCTTGTTGGGCCTAATGCGCAGAGACTTAAGGTACACACTACAGTAGATCCGATACGAATATGTGTTGTTGTTGTGTTGCTATTCAGCAATAAGTGAAAATTGTGCATTTCCCATCGAATGATAGTACGCCCGGGTTTGATGATACAACCCGCACTGATCCGGACATTTGTCCATGATCGCCGCATATCTCTCTAAGATGTACGTGATTCCTCTGCAATAAATGTTCTCAGGTTGAGTGTTTCTTCAGGTATGAGCACGGCGCCAGGTTCGCAGGCGTTATCTACATGCACTGCATTTCCGACTTCAGGATGGACGGCACGTCTAAGCGCAACTTCAAGATCTTCCGCGAGTTCTGCGGAGAGAGCTCACTCACAAACGTTTCATCGTGACCAACATGTGGTCCGAGGTCAAAGACGAGATCAGCGAAGCCAGAGAGTCGGAGCTTGCAAGCAAGGTCAAATCCTTTAAGTCCTTGCTAGAGAAGGGAGCTCGGCTTCTCCGTCACGTCACGAGGGATCCCTCGAGTCCGCAAATATCATCTTCCATTATCTTATCAGCATCCAGCCGGCTACACTCCGCATTCAATAAGAACTCGTCGACGAGCATAAAACCGGGCGCAACCTCAACGAGGAAGTGGAGCACCACAAAGGATCCATAATAACCGAGTGGAGATAGAAGCCACCATGCACGCTAAATACAAGGAGACGAGGGGCGAACTTCAGGAAAAGCTCGAGAAAAAGCGGTAGGAATGCATGTGCATCAAGCAAATGTCTCAGCGCATAGTGGCTGAGTCCGCTCCCGAACTTGCACGTTTTGAAGCTCGAATCCTGCGGACGCAAGATGTGCATTACAAGCAACTCCAGACGCTGGAGGGCGTTCAAGGGCAGGTAACTAGAATCCTAACTGAGAAAAGCATCACATTTGCGAGTTGGAATAAGAGCAGTAAGACCAGAGCACTGGCGGAAGAGAGTCACCAGAAGCACCTTCAAAGTCTCCTGGAGAAAACACGCGCCGCGAAAGAGAGAGCAGCAGAAAGGGAACGCGCAGGACAAGCGTTAGTGTCATTGCCGACAATGTCCGAGCACCCACGTGACACACGAGTGGCTGTGACGACTCATTGCCTGTCTCCGAGTCGCCGACATCGCAGTAGGCAAGCTTCATACAGAGAGGGCGGTGCCTTGAAGATCTTGAATAAGGTGGAGAAGGGAGGTGTGTTTATTTGTGAGGAAGTGGGGCGGGCAGAGCGGTGGAGTGAGAGAGGTCGCTGACATCGCAGTGGACAAGCTTGGCGACATATGAGAGGGTGGTGCCGTGAAGATAATAAGATGGAGAAGAGAGGTGTCTTTATTCGCGAGGAAGTGGGGCGGACATTTACAGCTCTTTGCATAAAGGATGGCACCGGCGTGAAATTTTCGTTCAATTAGGAAATGTTAGACTTAGTGAAATTTTGCTCATTGTACACTCACATCCCCTGTAATTCATTATCATCATGCCGTTTATAACTATTCCTGCCTCCAAAAAACACAAGAGCCTGCTAGAGCATGACAGTGACCTTGATTCCAATGGGTCCGATGAGGACGATATTCGAATGAAAGAACTTTCGGAGCAAGAGGAACCTGACTCTGATGACGACGGCGAAGATGACGAGTCAAGTTGAGCAGTACCAGCCCATGAAGATCCTTACACCACCTCCGACCATGTCCAAAAAGCGAAAGCGTGGAACTAAAATCTGTGACTAATGATCCCTACTATGTCCGCTCATCTTTTGACGTCTCGTCAATAAATCCCAACTCTGATGGATCATACTGAGCCATGCGTGCGATGAACGATATCTTCACGATCGAGAGCACGCAGACGACCACGCATTGCTGTGTTAGGCTGACGGTCCACGACATCGCCGGTTTCGTGCCAGAGCTTCAAAATCCGAAACCAAGTGCGTCTGGAAAATCCGCAGCAATCTAGGATATCACGAAGGCTTAGAAGGTTCCGTTCATGGAGTCGGATTGCCGCAAGTTTCACATCACGACTGATCTTGCGAAATCCCATGTTGCGAAGATGATAATATAAGGGTAGTATGAGCGTACACGAGCAAAATTTCACTAAGTCTAACATTTCCTAATTGAACGAAAATTTCACGCCAGTGCCATCCTTTATGCAAAGAGCTGTAATAAGACTATTTGTCTGGTTACCTTGAGTGCCCACATAGTCATCTTCTGCAGACTGATCCCTCGACCCAGAGCTTGGGTCTGCATCATGATCAGAAAATTTTCAACAATGACCTCCTCGAAAGTTTGGTTCAGTTAATTAGTTTCTACTACTGACTGGGAAATGAAGCTGACGATCCTCTCCGAGTAGGGACGCCGCAACTCTAGAGTCTAAAGAACTCATTCTCAAATGGATCGCGACAGCTTCTACACGCCCAGTTGGATCCGGGGTACAAAGAATGTTTTTCGTCGACGAGGATCATTCACATTGCTGGATGTAGTTCAGTCCTTGCGCCAACCTAGCTCAGACCCTTGACAATAGATTCGTCCATCTTCCATCCGATCAAGCGCCTCCTCGCATTAAAGACGTGATCATGGGTCCTGGTCAGGGAGGTCCAAAGCAGCAGGTCTTGCGCCATTGATAAGTGATATGCCTCTTTGCGCGCCTCGTAGATCTCCACTGGCAGCAGCTTCTTTACCTTTTGAAATCGTATATATTGTCGCCAGCTCATTTTGGTGGGCGCACAGCGTCTTCTGCCGTACATGATAATTCCCTGAGCACCAGACACGGTCATAGAGCTGATATCATAATGAGACCATACTTACGCCGCCGTTGTGGAGAGTTTAGATACTCCATTCATTAGAATTGCATAAATACCGCTCTGAGTACAGGGAACTATCACCGCTTCTGCAGTACTTTCACCCAGTAAGTCGTTTGCAATTGACGTCGTACCCCTCTAGTAATCAGCGAACGGTTCATCATCTAGAACACTCACCGACATCCTACTATCATGGAAAAAGCTGATGCTCAACGCATTCAATCCCACACGGTAGGGGAACTCGAAAGCTGCCTAATCCCTGCTCATGATGAATGCCCAACAGGATCGCACTAACACAAACCAAGAGTTCAAGGCCAGGGTAATGGCAGTAGCAGATGCTCCCAAGAGCAGTGAACAGAGCGGTAGTCCCCCGAGTAAGCAAGATGGAAACACCGCCGGTACAAACTCTGTAGGAAGCAAGAAGTAATCAGACTGTGGTCGCTGCATGCACCTGATTGCTACGTATGAAGTGACGAGTGTAGGATTATGTTTCTTGCCACGTATGTACTACCAAATTCGAGTGAATCAGAATGGGTCGAAAAACGTTTCGATCTGCATATAAAATCGAGATTCACCACATCGTTTAACCGATTGGCTTGATGCTATCGAGTCCTTGCGCCAGTATGTCCAACACCTTGTGCCGGCATACCCGAGGAACTTTCCTGGATATATCGATTCTTCCCTCTGGAGCATGCCACAATCCATCATCTCCGCGCCATGGATTGCCAGTGGCGCCAAAGACGCGTAGATAAAGCAAGCCATGCCCAGCCATGTGGTATCTATGAGACTTTGGTTGACCGAAATGTGCTGAACACCAGTCGATGCTAATCATTACGCTGCCATGGAATTCACAGCTAGAATGTCGGTAGATGGAGGGTAGTAAAATGATTTTCCTGACTTCGCAGCTGCGAGCATCAGTTGACTAGCTGCGGACATCCACTGCGAGATGAATTCGTGTTGTCGATAGTGTATGAGGGTCTCGCGAATACTTGTGGCGATAGCCGTCATATCGGTAGGGTTGTCTGGCAGAGCTGGTGTCAAAGCCTACAAAGATCAGCAAGCAGCAAAATCCACGTGCCTAACATACATCAATCATAGCATTGACAGCAACATCAGGAAATGCGAAGCTCGCTCCAGAGAAGCGATACTAAAATGACTGCGTCAGCAGGGTCGTAGGTGGAACGACAGAACGCTGGTAGACACTGTCAGTTACTTTGATTTTGCGTATCTGAGTAATCAAGACACGGTTGATAACCGTGGCAACGTAGGCGAAGAGACTATCATGGATTGATAGTCGGCTCGTCGCTGAAGGTGATCTTTGACGCAAAGAGTTACAGAGTGCCTCCAATCCCTGTCTCTCGAATGACTAGTCGACTCGTTCTGAGGTGTGTACTCTCTGAGTACTTCTCTCATTGCTATAGATCCCGCACCCCGAAGGCTGTGCTTCTCGAACGTAGGCGATGGATAAACAGGATGTAAGCCTTGGTAAAATCGGGAAAACGTATAAGTGAGTGAAGCGGAAGAACGCTGTTGCATCACCTATAAGGTATGAAACTTATGGAAATGGCTGCTCGGCGCTCGCAGATAACAGCCTACCCAATATATGATTCCAAGAAATACCGATAGTGGTGTCATCATGGAAGGTGGCGACTCTGAGTGGGCTTCGGAATCGAGCGCGGTAGGTACCCCTGTTATCACTCCGACCTTACTCGGTTCCTGCAGGCCTTGAACCAACAAAGTTCGAACACCCTCACGGCACTCACACCCTAAAGGACTCCAGACTCTTACCGAGATATTCGGTTCGACTTAATGTTGACGGCATTGCCGATTGCAATACATAATATATAACCCTCGACATCCTGTCGCATGTTTTCCTTCCTTCCCTCTCCCTCTTGTGCCTTTTGGTCGCTCTCACTCTTCGTCATCTCTTCACCGTGTTAACGTAACGCTATTGAAAGTCTGAACAAAACTAAATGTAACATTTTCGCATGCGGGCACCACGAGGAACAAGACGTTACACCGGTTTCTACGACATAGTGTCGCCTACGTAGATGTTTAATGATCATTCTCCAATCGCCTCACCCAAGGAACACAAGGAAGCAGTCAACGCAGTCGGCGCTTCCCGAGCAAGGAGCATAGTATCAGTCAATGAACGAGAAGGAAAAAAGAGTATCGGTGTCCGCAACCGTAACAATAGGTGTCGATTGTCACACTTGGATTCGTTTGTTAAGTATGCCTGACCTCCGACCGTTCCCGAGTCAAAAGGGCTTCTGGGCCTGTATAGCCACCTCTAGTGTATCTCCATTCAAAGCCTGTTTGACTGCTTTGTCATAGCGATCATTTGCTGAGGCAGTCAAATTATAGCGGGCTAGGAAGACAGAATACATTCGACGCACCGTACGCAGCCGACACATCCCATAACATCACCCCTCCGAAGGAAGAGTACCTGGACCGAGTCTCCTGGATTATTGAAGTAATGGTCTTGGAGTCGACATAGCCAGATCCCGCGTATGATGCAGCGGGCGCCCCGATATAAACCTTAACGTCACGATTAGGTGAGACCTTTTTTGCCCAGTTGTCCCTAATGGTGGTTAGAAAGTGAGATGCGAACCGCCCACGTCGGTACGTACCAGGTGGCAAAATTCCAGGCCTGTGCACAATGACGCTATTGAGGAATGGTACAAGTCAGAAGGCATCGTAACTTACTGGATTCTTGTAATGCTGCAGACCGCAATCATTGTTGTCTGTGAGTGATTATCAACAAAAAAAACAGCGGGGCCATCAAGACAACGACGGACAGAACTGGACATATACTGCATCAAATTTCACTGCATTGAGTGTTTTGCCGATGTAAGCGTCTGGGTAAGGACACTGGGGCGCTGGAATAAATTTCGCATATCAAAGCCACACGAGTGTCGACTGAAAGCGTTTCAGCTTACCAGCAGTGATATAATACCTGCGCAAGCGGTATAAACGAATGCTCACAGCGGAAGAGAAACAAACTTCACCTCTTCTTGCCCTGATCCATAAGTTCCGGAGTGCAGTCAAGAAGGAAACATAGCCTGTCTGCGAACCATTCTCGATGTCCATGTCAATTCTACCCGATGTTCAGAACAAGTCTGAAGAGCAAAAAAAAACCAACTGACCCATCGAGAATTGCAGATCCAAAGGGACGCGTCTTGCTCTTTCCACCCAGAAAGAGATTCCATATTGTCTCAGCATAAGCAGCGGCCTGAGAGTCGTCCTGAAAGCGGATATGTCCGGATTCGCCACCAAGTGAGATTGTGACTGTTTTTCCCGCCAACTGACACGCCTTGATGTCCGAGGCAAGAGATGAGCAATCCCGCAAGCGAGTCCCTGGGAAATAATCGCCGTCGCAGGACTGCACATGATTCAGCGCGATCCTGAAGGAAGGTCACGAATCACTCACATTCGCTAAGTCGATTGACGGGAGATTGCCTTGCGCATGAGCATCAAAAAGGAAGGCTATCGGAAAGGTGTTAATGACATTGTCCTGAGAAACTCGAGGTCAGGCGGCGGCTGAGCTTCGCATCATTCGGGGTGCCAGCCGGCAGCGCGATAACTGGATTTGAGTCGGATTCAGCTACTAGGTTGCCATACATGAAACCAAGACGGCATGATGCCTTCTCTTCCGTTTTATCTTAGTTCTTACCTACATAAATTGTTCCAGTGCGCCACCGCCCACCGCCACAAGGATCCCCACCTTATCCTCCCATAGCCAGTCCTAGCGCTGAAGCTTGGTCGACTCCACACGTTGGTGGCTTTTTGATGCCGTCGTTGCGGCATGTGTGTGAGCTTGACAGTAACGACCTCCAAGGTATCCGTCAATTCCATCAAGTACTCAGCTCAAGTGCGAAGTCTGAGAAGGTATTTTTGAAAGAGACTTTGAGCTTCCACAACACCTCTACTTCCATTATAGGTCCTATTGCATTCCACGGATCTTCCAAGGGGTGATGCACCGGTGATGGACAAGTGGCGAAAGCTACTAGGCTTGTTATACATGAGAGAGAAGCCTTTCAAACCCCGACCGTAAGCGCTGTCGTATTGGAGTCTGGAATATCAGACGTAGAAAAGACTATGAAAGTGCAGGTTCTGCAGTTGATATCCACGAACGAGACACAAATGTCAACCATCGTAGATAGATGTAAAAATCACCCCCACCTCGACACGATGCTAGTTCTCTCTAAAGTTCGTAAGACTCTGGTGAAGTTGACCTCAAGCATACCGCAAAGTCAAACGCTCCTCGAAGGCAGTCAAATTCATACGAATGTTCGCTTTAAATATATTGCTCATAGAGTTCCTCAAAGCTGGCATCATCTTCGACTGTGAGTTGCTCGACAATTCCCCGGAGATCAGATTCGACGTGCCGTTCACGCGTCGACATTGCCATTGAGTCGATTGGCATCCTTGGCCTTATTGGATTGTATCTCGATGACAGGACCATTGGGGAGAACTTGAAGCTTCAAGGGATGGTGCAAGTCAATACCATCCGTGCCACCCAACTTGAGAGCTTGGGCAGCCAGCAGCAGGCGTTGATGCGCTTGGCAACATCACGACACTTGCTGACGCAGCATTTTTTTATAGGTGCCCGTATCCGTTGTGAATTCCCAGCTATCATGTATACGTATCTTATCTTTCTGTGGGAGTTACAATGAGATAGCCACGCTCAGAAGTGGGTGCCCGTTCTTGTTTTCGGCTTACCTGTCTCCTTGTAGAATTACAAGTTGCTTGCAATGCCCGCCTCGAAGAACGTCAACCCTGCGCTCAAACCTGGCAAGAAGTCTGCGGAGCCCAACTATGTGCTTGTCATCCACGGCGGTGCTGGTACCATGACACGGGAAGGCTCGACGCCTAAACAACGTGCCACGTACAGGGCTGCACTCTCACAGGCGTTGAAAGCGGGCTATGAGGTACTCAAGAGCGGAGGAGAAGCTATGGATGCTGCGGTCGCGGCTGTCTCGGTTATGGAAGGTGAGATATGACAAGTGTTCGAGCAGTTGATGGCTAACTTCTAACTGTGATTTCATAGACTGTCCGTTGTTTAACTCTGGGCATGGCGCGGTCTTCAATGTTGCAGGCAAGGTGCGTTTTCTTAACCGTGACTTCTAAAGGCCATCATGTATATCTATCTTGCCATCAAGATCGAGCTCGAGACTTCCCTGATGGTCTCCAAGCCTCCAGCATCACACCCTGCAATGTCTTCCTCCCGACGTGGATCCTCAGTTACGCTAGTCACTCACACCCGAAATCCTTCTCACCTCGCGCGCGCACTCTACCTCGCACCCCAGCTTGCTCCTCACCCGATGCTATCTGGCGCGGCAGCAGAAGCCACAGGTGCTTTGCTTGGCGTACGTCAAGCTGATCCATCCTACTTCTGGACGGAGGCACGATGGAAGGAACATAGACGCGGCCTTGGATTACCCGAAGATCCCGTTGAATACCCCAGACCCGACACATCTCATGATACAGATTCAGAGGTTACGGATGTCGCCAGCTTTTCTGACGACAAACTTGAAGATAAAGAGACCTGGGAGCCTCTTGATTTGATGCCAACGGGTACTGTTGGTGCGGTCGCACTTGATATCCGGGGCTGTATTGCAGCGGTAACTTCTACTGGGGGACGTACGAACAAGCTTGTCGGCAGGGTTGGAGATACCCCCGTAATGGGATCTGGCTTTTGGGCTGAAGAGTGGGAGAGAGACGGTGGATTGCTGAAGCGTACTTGGGACCGCGTGAGAGGGAAATCAAAATATGAGGGTGTAGGCGTTTCTGGTACTGGTGACGGAGATGTAAGAAGCAGTCGAGCAGATGTTGAGCTTGCCAGCGCTAACATTAAGTTTTAGTACTACATTCGCCGTGCTGCAGCTTCCAACATCGCTCGGCGCATGCAATACCTGGACGAGTCTCTGGACGAGGCGACTCAAAATGTCATCGACGATTTATTCAAGGAAGGTGGAATAGGTGGTGTCATTGCGCTGGACAGAGATGGGAATGGTACGTTTCCATTCTGATCAGGCAAAACTGTACACTGACTCGGACTCTGGACGCAGTCGCTCTCCCATTAAACTGCAGTGGCATGTATCGCGGTGTCATTCGCCCTAATGGCGTGCCGCTCACGGCTATTTTCTTTGACGACCAACTTACTGAACTTTAAGCTGGGCGAACCAACATTCATCGCTGGTTCTCGATCAGCAGTGAGTTTAGATGGGACTCGACGACATATACCTACAGACGCGATGATTGATTCACTCGAAAGGCAGAGTACTTGTGAGATCTAGAATTACAGCCCAACATATGGAAGACAGGACGGCCGCGCTCTCTTAGGCATGTCACAAATATATATAAGGCAATAGGACTCCGTGCGCTTCATAACATCATCTCGATCGCGTCTCTGTCCTGATTCAACAAAATCATACTAAACAAGGAAATTTTGGCCATGTGGAGCCCCTCCCCCCCTATGTCGAAAAATTGACGTGTCAGTGTCTTGATCCTTTGTATCGCACACCTCTTGATATATGATCATATAAAACCACCGCAATCTACATAATCGCTAGCAAGAACTCACCGGTTTGCTGATGCCCAGTGGCGACTTTACACATCGGAAGCAGGATTGCATGGACGAGTTGATGAAGCATGAACTACTAGTGGGTCCAGATGGCAATTTAATAGGCAGTAAACGAGTTCTGTGGGAGGAGGGGATACAAGGCCGCACATCGTCCATCCTCGACATCCTTATTCCGAAATCTAGTCTTAAAATACAAGACATCCATGACATCAAGTATGTCAAGAAGAAGGACGATTGTATCATACACGGTTTATCCGTAGAGTATGATGGACGTGTCGACAGCACATCACACATTTGTGACCATGTCCGCGATCACCTCCCAGATTCACCGATATTCACCAACAAGATTCACCGTCGCATGCTTTTGACTCCCTGCGGAATCCTGCTAACCAGCTTCAAGTCTATACCTGAGCTGGTCAATGTTTTTCTTGACCTTGTTGTTGGTGAGTTCCCCTGGTGTTCACCAAAATTTCTGGCACTGAAAGATACTGGTAGCCCACAAAACAATGACGACGCAGCGGAAGGTTCTTCATGGAGATCTCAGTCCCAACAACATCATCATATACGAGGGAAAAGGCTACTTGATCGACTTCGACCACGCCAAATTCATCCAACTTAACAATAAAGCAAAGGATTCACATGGAACAGTAAGTTTGAAATTGATATATTCTGTATTCTTGATCTTGTTGTTCGAAGGGAACGATACCATACATATCCTACCGCCTTCTCAAGCTGATTGGAAGCATTCAGACTCCTGACTCAATCGAACACAAGGCCTCCGACGACCTTGAGTCACTCTTCTATATTATCCTCGAATTTACGATTATATATGATGGGCCCAGCGGCCTAATCACAAACAGGGGGGTGCTCCCTGACAACACCCGTAGATGGCATAAAGCCTATGTTGCGATGGGAAAAGATGGTCTCGGGACTAGTGGAACCCTCAAGGAAGAATTCTGATGGACATAGCCCCGCATTACGAGCCTGCGCCGTATTTCCAAGCTTGCTGTCCCATCCTTGAGGACTGGTGCATGGCAATTGGAGACGTGATAACGAACAAAATAGACGTCTCTCACGACCAAATTTGTGAGATCATACAACAGGGGCTGGATAACATCGGCAACTTTCCGAGTCCTCAGATTTCACTGCCAATGCCATCTACTAGTCTATTAGGTTCCTGTTATGACCAGAGTTCACTGAATGGCAAAGTCTGACAACAACCACTAGGACTCGGTCAAGGATGATGATGAGAACGGATAGTATTGAGCGTGAACGTCTAGGCCTACTACAATAGTAGAGAACGAAGAGGTTAAGTCTAAGGAGTACTTACGCTAACTAACCTACTTTTATACATAACATTGAATAGGAGTCTGAAAGAAATCAGCCAATGAGAAAGAGTCGTACGATACTGTGGATGACTAAGTATGACTCATGATATATAAGTGAATGAGTAAGACGGCAACTAAACAGAAACCCAAGTTCCGACCGGTTCTTCTTTAGGAAGCGAGATTGTTCTAGCCCTGTGGAGTAGGGGAGCCAATCGGAGAAACCACAGGTGATATGTGAAGAGGTGAAGGTGTGACAGGGTTGGGAGTCACATGACCTGGTTTCGGGAACTGGAAGTAGCCGAAGGAAAACCGAGAAATGAAAAATGGTTCGTATTTGGAATTCGTGACAGTTCCTCAGCTTCTTCTCCAGCTGTGGTCCTGGATCTGCAGCCTTGTCGTTCCAGCCAGATAAACCACTCTGCACATTCATCAGTGCCATCTACTTCTTCGACATTGTTTGCACCTCCTCCCCCACCCTCTCCGCCTCAGGCCACTTCGTGATTGCCCTCATTGTTCTAGGCAGAAGAAGAAGCAGGTTTCCATGTCCTGATGTGTAAGCCCTGTGATGGGTTATCCACTTCACACAGAGCTCAAGAAAGTCACTGTGTTTTGCCCTTGAATTGACAAAGTTCGACTAGGCAGGTGAGATATACAAGGACAGGCTTAGTCACAGCCTCGAACCAAGTGGTCTGAACTTTCCTTCGTCTCTCTATAGCTACTTCGCTAGCACATATCGACTCGAATCTATTGACTACACGAGCTTCTCATATTGTAACTAGCTGACTCCTTGGAATGTTTCATCAAAAAGTGGCCCAGATAGCTGCACTGTGGGACCACCTGTATCATACTGATAAGGACAGACATTGGGGAGGCTGTTCCGCACTTATGGGCAAGGGTTCCCAGTAAAATCAGGCTATACTGTCATTATTATAGATAACCGACTCTAATTAGAGACAACTCGTTATACTTCCTTGTCACGGACTACTGATGCTTTGATAGATTATCCATTACAGCTCCCATGATGGATAATTTGCCAGACACTCAATTTGGCATGATTCTACTCATTCTGGGGGCTGTCCATGATGGATAATGGAACAGCCAATACTATTTAGTGTGTTCCTACCCTTTCTGGGCTGCATCACCCTCTTGTGTCTGCTTTGAATTTATCCTGCCCCTCTCCCTGCTTCTCTGCAATCTAGATCTGATCATTCCATCAAAAGAACCAACATGAGTCCTTATGTCAGGCTCCCCACATTATTCCCACACATCACATGTTCGCATTTTTCAGCCACACAGTGTGGGAATTACCCCACAACACCAAAAACATCGCCCATTTTGGGAATCTCCACAATATCAATTATTCCCACACCCTCCCCACCTCAGTGCAGCTTCACCACCACACCACAATAGGTCTCCCTTCATATATAAGTAGTAGTTTGGTATATATAAGTATATTATAATATAATAGTCCGCTTTTTTTGTTTATTTCTGTGCCTGCTCCTCCTCCAGGGCCCTTTCAAAATAGCCTAGGGTAAAGAACACTTACACACTTTTGCCCCTTTGATAGGGAAGTAGTGTTCTTTACCCTAGGCTATTTTGAAAGGGCCCTGGAGGAGGAGCAGGCACAGAAATAAACAAAAAAAGCGGACTATTATATTATAATATACTTATATATACCAAACTACTACTTATATATGAAGGGAGACCTATTGTGGTGTGGTGGTGAAGCTGCACTGAGGTGGGGAGGGTGTGGGAATAATTGATATTGTGGAGATTCCCAAAATGGGCGATGTTTTTGGTGTTGTGGGGTAATTCCCACACTGTGTGGCTGAAAAATGCGAACATGTGATGTGTGGGAATAATGTGGGGAGGCCTGACATGAGAAGAATAGCTGAGTTTTAAAAATGCGAAAAATGTGGCTGTGTATATTGTTCAGATCTCATACACTGCCAAAAATGTTACCGTGGTCTGACTAACGGTGATGACAATGGGTGACGCATGAGTCGACCCATGGAAATCCTACAGTAAGCCTATTGGTGGACTACAAAAAGGAACCCATGATCGACCGTTAGCGTCGAGCATGGAAAACCACGGAGGGATGCAATAGACTTTTCATGGGCATGTACAAAGTTTTGCAATGGCATTCTGACGACAGGCAACAGATTTCATGAAAAAACATTAGCTGTCATTCTCTGGTAAGATATACCAGCTACTAGGGACAGAAGGCCATTAAATAAAAGGAATAGTCAAGTGAGAATGACGTGTGAGAATGATGGTGATCAGTCCAATGCATTGCGAAATGATGGGAGTCCAATGATAATGTGTGAGCGAGTGTCCAATGATTGTATGTGAAATGATGGTTATGGATGAGAAGGAGAGGGAAATATCAGCAGCACACTGAATGATCAAACATTGTTACCAGCATGTTGTTAAGGTCATGGTCGGCGGTCATTAGTGCATGGGGGTTAGTCGAAGGTCCTGGGATGTTGTCACCTCGCGAAACAGTGGTGTTAGGCTTGCCGAATCGTGCGCGATCCTTGGTGATTAATTCTCCAATATAACTAAGAAAGACGCCAGTAAGACAATCAGCTCATAAAACTATGAAGAAAGCTTACCGCTGATAGCCATCCTTGTCTTGCGCATAATGATCTTTTTGAGCACGAAGGTGGGTCTCAAACCGCTTCCAAAACTTGGGTTCTGCCGTATCAACCTTGGCCTTCTTTTTGACGCAGCGTGATGTAGGAGCTGGTGTTGCACCTTCGTCATTCTCGTCATCGTCATTCCCGTCCAAGTCGAGCAGCTCGAGATTGTGCATGGCAAAGTCACGCTGTAAATGGAGAAAAATGTAGTGCACTCGAAAACTGAGCCACTGGAAACTTACTATTTGTACCACTTGTGCCAGCAGTGTAACTGGCAGCGGTATCACAACTGCAGCAGGGTTGAAACGAGTGAGCCATGAGACTGCGAAATCCTCAAGAGTCAGGCATAAGGGGCCGTCTTGCACTGATACGAGGATCTGGCAAGCCACGTGTAACTAAATAGCAAATAAATACAACAGAGATAGCCTTACAAATTTCCTTGCAGTGTTGCGGACATTGTTGCATGCATTGCGAATTGCACGAACAATAGCTGCTTTATGGGTCTTGGCTTTGATTTGTTCGGCAATCTTCAGCTCATCTGGATGTTGCTCGATGTCCTGCTGAAGACGTATGACAATGTCAATGCAAGTGATAACAAACTCGATGAAATTCATACCAGAATGTCTTGGTACATGTTGACAAAGTTTGTTCGGTCTTCCTTGACGAGTGCCCGCTTCGCCATATCTGTAAATTGGGCCTTCGGAAAGATATTAAGCATCAGTCATGGTTCAGAACATCACAGCAAACCGACCTTCAAGGCATCATCAACCACCCATGAAGTTTTGATAAGACCCTTGAGAACCGCCAACTCAGAAGAGAATGTAGCCACTTTTGTAGCGGTTTCTTCTACAAGTTGTAAGCACTTGTTCAGAGCGGCGAAGGACATAAGAGATGTCATATTTGCAGGCAGTGGCATATCTCCGGCAGCCTGGCATCACGTACACTGTCAGTATGGGTGCATTGAATTGCATAAGGCTACTCACTAAAGCATAAGACTGTAAACTGCACGACCTCTCGCTGTTGAGGCTGTACATCTGCGTGATGGCAGCAATAACTTCTGGACCAACTTGAATAGATCCAGCTGGTGGCACCGCAGTAGCAGGCAACCGAATTGCACCTGACTGAGGCACTTGGGAGGTCAAAGATTGATCCAATTCATCATCACTGTCTTCGTCATTGTACGATGAATGTGTGCGCTTCTGCCCTGCAGAGGATGGGACTGGTGCAGCTGAATGAGGGGAATTATAACCACTGTGATTGTGGTAAGCAGGAGCCTGAGATCGAGAATTTGGTGCTGTGGTCAATGGATGACTGGAGTTGAAATTAATGTTGATATTGCCACGATTTCTGGCGATGGCAGGACCTGAATGGATAGAAGCCCCATTAAAATGCTTGTTCTGCTGAAAGGTAGGAGTATGTGTAGAGTTGGACATATCACTTGAAGGATAGTAATGATCACCAGATGGGTGTTGTCCTGTCATGGTTGGGAAAATATTGTGGTGCCGGGTATGGACTGTGACTTGGAACTCGTAAAGTTGGTTCAGAATGAGTACTTGCAGGTGTCATCAGTCTGCTGATGTTCATCAGATGGAAGGAGTGTGGAAGTGTTGGGAGTGCGGTGGAAGTGTGGCGATTTTTTCATTAAGTCCTAAACTGTGGCGCAAATTCAAAATCGAAAATTGTACTGCAGTATATCAATGAAACAAAAATCCTAGATGAAAATTGTCCCTAATGTACACCTGCTGCTAGTTCAGATTCGCAAATAATGTTGATAAGTGAGTCAGTATCAAGTGGGGGGGCAGCTTCTCTAAATTTCGAGATGAATTTTGCATCTCGCATCTTTGCCATGTTCAGGATCAGATCCTCTGTGCGATCATCATTATGTCTAACTGCCTGTGTGCCCTCCACTTGATGCTCCCGTTCGAGAAACACTGGTCGTGATGAAGAGAGGTTGCAGCGATTGGCTGCACAATTGTGTTGTACATTGACAGTACAGTCAATTTGCTAAGTTGCCAGTGATGAAGGTCAATAGACTGCATACGAGAGTAAAACATCATTTACCTCAGGAGTGACCAAGTGATATCTCTCAGTTTTTGAGAGCGAAGGCATCCAGTATGGCTGGACAAGGGGACCAGTATTATAGCATTGAAGTAAAATCCAGTCTGCTTTCCCCTCGAAATCCTGTCCCCTCGTCAAAATTTCAGCCACCCTCCCAATTAAGAAGTGATCTCGGACATGGAATACCGTGAACGAATCAAGTGCAACAGGATCACCATTGCAAACAATGACTTCCCGACACTGTGTTAATATTGTGTGATCTGTGATACCTGGGGAAACACAGTATGTCGATGACAAAGTCTGGTTCCAAATGAGAGGGCGCATTTTTGCTCTTTTTGCAAACCCTGTAGAAAGGATAAGGCACACAGTCTCAAATAATCCTACTTACATACCTATACGAGAAAATGATTCAGAAAGAGGAAAACCAAGTTTACGAGTGATGATTGATGGCTGTTCACCATAGGTTCGAGGATTCGCTCCTGCTTGAATCCATTCTGTTTGTGTTGTGCCATCTGATTTGTCTGACTCGACCTTGAAGTATCCACCACTGAGTAGGTGCTGCAAGCGGAGTAAACCAGCAGCACGTCGTGCAATATCACGTGAAGGTGCCATCCGATTTGAATTAATGGACCAGCCACGAACAATACTGTTGTATGACTCGTGGACTTCCGTGGCAAATGTGATCGCAGGGCCGAATCTCCGTATGTGGTCAACAATGTGCAAGATGAGGTGAAATTTCGGCTTGTTGAACCATCGTGGTGTCCAGCGAGCAGTACAGTCCATGAATCTTTTGATCGCCACATTGAGTTCAGCCTGAAATCATATTGAAACCAGTATCATGAGATTGAGCACTTGATGCACCATATAATCATCAAGATTCTCAATTTTCGGCATCCAAAGAAGTGGGACAAGGACACATAGTGCAGCCCATGCATCAAGGATCTTGGTTTCAAGCATATCATACAGTACGAAAACAGCCACTTGACTGATCAAACGAAAATCACGGCCAACAAGTGACCCAGCATAATGAACAAGTGTATGACCACGAGGTTTTGCTACATCGGGCCCAAGGCCAGAAATGTCAAGACTTGACAAACGAGCTTCAGTGGTAGCTTTTTGGACAGCAGAGAGGCATTCAACTGCATCTCGCCAGAAGTACTTGAGAAAACCCAGGAGGACCACATGTAAAATTTCGATTGGCGTATCAGAATGTGGATTAAGACCTTTCAAGAAAAAAGTGAGTGCATTGAAGTCTGATATTGCAAACATATGAATAATGATATACCTCTAATTCGCCACACTGGGCTAAAGGTATTGGCTGGTAACCTTGTATAAGCCTCTCGAGTTGCCTGTCGTGCTGCATCCCCACTGAGTGACTTCCTTGCCTTCTCTAATTTGTCGAGGAAAAAGCGGAGTATTGTGTCCTTCACACCAGTAGATGTCCGGAGATCTACATTTTCTTTTTGGCGTGCAAGAGTTGATGCATTTTCAAGCATCCGATGTGAGACACTCTGAGTTTCTGCTGTGGTTCGTGCAGCACCAACCTACATCATTTGAGACCATGCCATGAAGCTACAGTATCTCAAGTACCAACCTTCATAAACCTCTTAATACGACTGACCATTCCCTGAACAGTCTCCCTCTTAACACCACCGACCTCGAGCATGTCAGCGACATCTTTCCCTTTTACCCAGCAACAATGGCAAAAAAACTTCGACATTAGACCCCCGTGGCAAGCAAATTCACTTTGCATCGGATTGTCACCGAGCAATGCAAGGACCGAGATGATTACAAGTATGATGTCATGGTAGCGGCAGTCATAGGCCCAAATACCTGTTTCTTGACATGATCTGTCACGGCCATGTCAGTTTTGATTTTCGTCATGGGGCAGACTCCACTCACTCGATTTGCTCAACAATGCCTTCAAGCATTTCCAGTGGAGGTGCTATATTTGATGTACATATAAAGCTAAGATTGTACTCCCGCTGCATGTGCTCTCGTGGAAGTCCAGCAGCATTCATAAGGAATGTGTTGTGTTCATTCCATTTTTTGGATCGGTTACCTGAAGTGTCGTCACAGTAGAGTAGTACAGGATATGCAACAACACGATGGCCATTGGCTTTCAGTCGCCATGGGTTCGTCAGTGGTTCTGCCCATGGTGTAATATAGCCAGTGGGATCGCAAAAATCTGACCTTTGTTGAGTAGTGTAATTACAAAAACATGAACCATACTTACAAAATGTCGACTGAAGTGTTGGTCGACCATGTCCAAGAGGTACATACTGAAGCTCCGGAAATGTCATTGATAAATCGTCAGTTGGGAGAGATAGTTCGTCACGTTGATCAATGAGCCAGCTAAGTCCCACATCAGGAGAATGCCATGGAATGAGTGGCCATGCACGAAACCAAACTTGACCATTATTTTTGAAGAACCTGAACGGCATGCATAGCATACCATTCTTAAGGAGTGTTGGTTCATCTGTGTAGAAATCTCGCGTTATACAGCCCTCAACACGGTACATTGGTGTAAGCAGTCGAGCATCATGCTCTTCTAACCAGCAGCGTGCTTGACGGATTTCCTCGAGTCTTGGGCCGCTATCTTCAGGGTAAACCTCAAGGACTGACCGCACAAGGGGGTTCGCGAAGGCCTACATATGTCATCAGTTGCTAGCACATTCAAGGACAGAAATGACGGTCCACCATCTTCACAATGAACTGTAGCAAAATCATATAGTATGTGTGACCCAGACAGCCGACGTAGCAATTGATCTTGACTCCACACAGACCGTCTATGGCATGCCCAACACTCTTTATCTGATGAATAGATGGCACTGCATGAACACCATGTTGTTTTAATTGCCATAATATCACCTCGAGCTCGTCTTGGGAGAAGACACCTCGAGGAAAATTTGACATGATATCAAGCGTACATGACTGATCTAACATTAGAGGGGAAATACAAAACTAAAAGAAATGCGAACTAGGCGATTTTTCCATGGATACCATGCATTTTCATGAGCATCTTGGGTTTGATTATACCCACGACGAGAGACTACATGATAGTGAGAGAAAGTTGCTATAAAATGGTAACGCATACCCTCTGCATTCACGTTCACAATGAACCCGTCCTCTTCTTCTGGAACGCCTCCCTCTTCACTGTCCGAGTCCACCGCCGATGGGTTGAAACCGTGGTCGACCATATGACGGAGCGACGCGCTCACACTGGAAACAAGGTGCGCATGCATGTCTTCCATCGAAAGAGATGGAGGAATAAGCTCCTCAAAATCCACCTCCATATCTATGCCGCCATCCGGTTCGTTATTGTATGACCCGGAAGGTGACTGCCGCCAGGGATCTTGGACTAGAGGCTGTTGGTGGTGAGGGAGGGGAGCAGGATGAGGCACATTCAATGGTAGCCCAGAAGCGATAAAAATAGCATTGAGAAGGGGATTTGTCTCAAGGTGAGGTTTGTTGAGAGCAGCAGTTTGAGCAGCATGGAGTTCATCGGCATAGTGAGTTGTTTCCGTCCTGTGCTTTTGAGTATTTTCATGGCGTATAGCATGGTGGATGTCTTGCTTGAAACAGCCAGTCGGACAGCGTAAACACGTCCAGAGATTCCCTTGCCTCAGGAAGTCTGCATCCAGTATAATGAGAACTGATGTACATACATCGACAATGAAAACATATGTTCTGGATAGGCTAAAGACGCCATTGATGACTTATCAAGATTGTGTGCATGGGTAGTTCGTAGGGTGAGACTGTGGGATGCACAAAAGATGACAAACATGGTCAAACCATGGGCCAGTACATAGCTAGTCGGCCGTTTCCCTTTTACAGGTAGACTATGGGTAAACTATGGGACATCTATGGGTTCGGGCCATTGAGAACTTACAGTAGACCCAGACCGCGGGTTGCCTATGGTAACATTTTTGGCAGTGTATTATTCGTCGATATTTCCCACTTCCAGATCCAGACTTAGGCTCAGGTGTGCCCCTACACAGGGGCGCAGTCACTCCCGCGCTTGCGCATTATGCGGACAAACTTATCTCGACGGTCGAGATACGCGCACACCGAGTCAATGATCCAGCAACTCGTTACTGAGCTCTGCGACCGACAATCATATACGTGACGCTAGTGCTATCCTTGACAGCCCCTAAGTGTACCTCTTCGTACGAGTCGTAATCTCCCACCTTTGACTGAAAGCGCCTATGGATGAGAACTCTTGAATATGCCTAGCAAGGAAATTCACGATGGTGGTGTTGACCGTATGTCCATATTGGCCTGAACCAGAAATTATGGCTGGATTGCGTCGGAGCTGACGTACACATTTCTCACAAGGGACCTTATTCAGAGGCAATCCGCGATCTTGATTGCTTTCAAGCACTTTACAGCAAGCGACTTTTTTTTGCCTCCTTTGGTAATTTTTGAGGTGGGAAGGTGAAACATGTTGCACCTTTCAGTTCTGCTTAAAAGGCGGGCCCGCCTACTGGTATTTGCAGTGAAAAAAAGCCCACAAGGCCTCACATAAACCATATACACCTTTACCGAATATCATCTGCTATCTTTCTCATCTTTGAACGACTACTTTTTTTTCCTTCATCCTCCTTTCACTTCACTTAAGGTAAATCCTTTGAACCATCTCGGTAAACTCCGTCACTCACTCATGGATTGTGCCTTATCTTACGTGATATCTACAACGTCTTGATCACGTGGGTGCCTCCGCGTCGCATCGTTTAACTTGAACATTCATTTTGTTGTTGTCAAACTATTTGGCTTGGTGGGTCCCGTTAATTTTTTTTCCACAATGTCTTCTGCAAAGCTTCTATGCGTGGCGATTCACTTTACATTGACAATACCTGGGGATTGGCCGCCGATCTCGGCGCTCTCCCACAGAAACAATTCATTCGCAATCCGCTCACATAATTTCTCGGACGGGGAGTCCGACTCTGGCACTGCCCGCGCCGGCAACCAGGAGAATTCAAGAAAGACACAGAGAGTAAAGAGATTTCAGAAGAGTCGTCTCGTGCAACAGATACGTTTATACCCTCAACCATAAACAACATAATGGGAGAGTGAATCAAAAATCTATCCATGAGGCTAACAACAAAAGACCACAAAATTGAGATGTGAGAAAAGACCACTGAATATATCCACATTGCACCGCCACTACGAATCCTCGCTTTTTTTTCTCTTTTCCACGTCTACAAATACCCAGCTACCTAAAGGTAGCGGGAATAACCGGACCATATAATGAACAAGAAGTACGGGCACTGCATATTACAAAACGCGGAAGATCTGTTATCTTATCCGTTATGCAATGTTCATATTCCAACACGATATAAACTACAAAACAACACCTATCGAAATTATCCTTTTCTCTCAATACTGCTATGTCGAACTACATTTACAACTACCCCGGTTCATCTGAGTCCTCCGCTGCACAGGGGCCTGTCAGTTCTCATTCTGCTGACCGTACATCACTGTAACTAAATCACTTGCAGGTGGCCCATGTTCTCGAAGAGACTTTTCAGTGCATGTGGGGTTATATGAACGGGTTGCATTGCGACGAGTTGATTATTGGCAACTCTCTCTCTACCCACCTACGCAATTTTCACGGAGTTTGTGGTGCCGCCAAGTTGAAGCTTGTGTGCAATTGGATGCATTGTGGTAGGGAGCTCGATAAAGAGAGTCTCTCGAGGCACATTGAAGAGATTCATATGGGGATCGTATACTTCTGCGAATGTGGCAAGAGGTTCTCACGCCGGTGTACTCTCAACAACACCGGCAAACTTGCCCGGCTCAGAACTGACATGGGTAGACGCTGGAGTATGCCAACTCATTATAGTGGGTCTTTATGGTATTTATTTACTGTGTCATGACTTCAGTTAGTGCTCCGTTGGTTTATGTATCTAGTGATACGATACACTTATTATTCACTGCAGAAACGGGATTTAGAACTGACTGGAATAGTATATGTCAAGTGAATCTAGGCGAGAGCGGGATCGAACAAGCTAGTAAGAACGAATACTATACTATAAGTGTCGTTAGTCTATGGTAAAGCATCTGGTAAACTTCGGGTACTCACATCTCAGTCTCTAGACAGAACTGAGATGTGAGTACAAATCTAACTGCTCTTTAAGTTACGTAGGGTAGAAATGAAAATTTGCATAGATCAAGTCCTTCAATATGGTCAGGTGCGAGCCGACGTCAAAGCGTCACTCGCCCGCCACTCTCTATATTGCGCTCGGACCTTATCTCGGACCCTTCGGCCTCTTCCTCAACGGATCGCTTGGACTTCAGCGATGGAGCCCCGTGCTCAGCCCCATCATCAGATCCCCAAATGCACTGATGTAGGGTGTACCTCACCAGTCCGCCGTTCCTGCCGGCCGTTTTAGATGGGCGATGTAGATGACGAAGGGAAGACTGTATGTAAGATTGCGTGAGGAGAGGTCTCAGGTCGTGTGGACGAGCGGGTGTATTGTGATAAGGTGGAGATAGGGTATTGGATGGAAAGAACGATTATGGTGGCCTAGATAAAGTATGAGGTAGTGGGGTCTTGAGTGCGTCTCATATGTATCTTGCTTGCGCTAATAAGAAATCTGGGCAGGGAATGTCAGGTCGCTCGCGCAGTGGGCATCGAGATTTCACCTAGCGTGGATTTCAGTCGACGAGTCATATTAAATAGCGGACTAGGTGGGGGATGGGATCCGGGTCCGCCAGCAGGTGCGATAAGGAGGTGGACCTCCGTCCCAGCGCTTGGGCTAGCACATGGCGCTCTGGTTGATATTGCGGGCAAGCGAAAAGATAATGGTGGACGGTTTCCTCGATTTGCGGACAGTGGGGACAATCAGGGGAGGCGACTTTGGTGAGACGAAATAGATGCTGGTTCAGAGGAAGGTGATGGGTGCGTAGTCCGAGGATGAGACCGGTGAGGCGTTTTGAGAAGGTGGATGTGAGTTTGATGAAGGCACGCATTTTTGATCCCTCCATTCACGATATCATGTGTTTGAGCTGGATAAGTGCAGATTGTACCGGAGGGATCTAGTGTCCAGACTCCATCCTTGTCGCATGACTGGGATGCAAGCAACTAACTGCCAGCAAGACAGACTTTCATATATTCAGATGTTGAAGACCTGCATTCGTATGATAATCATTTATCAACTGACCAGTGACAGGTAAGCCTTGAAATTACCAACATCCGAATTCATGCATCGTGGGGCTAGTGCCACTGGCAGGAGTAACTTAAATCACAAGATAGAAACGAGGCACACGCGCATATGATCCGAACGTCATCCA